TCCGCATAAGATGTAGTGGAGAGGAGCGATTCTTCTCTCTCCTCCCTAACACGGTCCTACCGCTGAACTCGTAATAGTTAGTAGTTAGCTAGTAGTTTAATCGATAATTTAAAAAATATTGATTAATTATCGCTGTGACATATAACGCTAAAAGCATAATTACGGGAAGATAACTATATAAGGCAAGAATGAAGAAAAATTAAAACATTAAGTTATGATACGAAACATATGTATCAAATCTCACTGATCAAAAAATCAATGTTTAACTCTTTACATAATTCATACATTACGCCTCGCTAAAAATTATCGGCTGCGTGGAATAGAATAACATCGATAAATACAAGTGTGCGGTTTTGTATCTCGTACTAAGCAGCGATAACGCGAGTGCATTAACGATCTCGAAAAGCAATCTCACCCGATGATATAGAGGGAATTTGAACGTATCGGAGAAACCGACGAGAGAATTGACATCGAAAAAAAGAGGAGGGAAGAGAGAGAAAGGTCAGGATGCGGCTCGTTGCTCGTTCAGAACGACGACAAACGAAGGTAAAGATGACTGGCCAGATTCCTTAAGTGTTGCCCCAATCAAGGAGAGGGAGAGAGAGGAGAGATCCCATGTCACTCGGTTCATTAATCCATTCAGGACGAACTCTGAAAAGTTCCATCCCCGCGCCGTATTACGGAATTACATTTCGTTCGCGCGCTTAATAACGTGAATACGTAATGATCGTCCGAATCGCGCGTATTCTCGAGCGTGACGAGATCCAATCGAGTTATCATCATGCTACATATACGTACACACACACATACACGCACACCTATAAGCCTTTAAAATGTATAATCCTAACACGCGATGTTCTTAACATGTAATCTATAAATATAATAACTACGTACTGCGTATTACATATTGATACGAGATCAACACTGAAAAATGTATAAAACATGTGCTTTTTTAAACATATATCTCAACTAAATTGGAAAGGTAAAAAGATATATTTCATTAAAATAAAAGATATGCTCTGGTGTTCCAAGCCAATCTCATCTCCAGAATATATGGAGGGGTAAAAGTCATAGTGGTGTAAGTCAAAATTTTTAAAATTTTTTTTCGCGTGCATAGATGCAATCTATACAATATATAAATTGCATCTTATGCACACGAAAAAATATTTTTAAAAATTTGACTTATATATATTACTATGGTTTTTACCCCCTTTATATATTTATTTTATTCATTTTATTTATTGCACACAATCAATACAATATAGTAATTCATTTTATTTTTGACACATTTTTTTTCAATTAATAATCTTTAATGTACCGTGCACCGCTCGCAGATCGCAGATAATATCGCTCGCGCGAAATACTCACCGAAGATTCGCGCGCAAAAGAAAATCGCAAGCATCGCGAGCAGCGCAGAAGAGCCCGACTCCAACGGTGCCGATCTCGCTGGATCGCTCGTTCGACCAAGGATTTGCAAACAATGGCGTCGTAGCGCGCGGTCCCTTCTCTCGATGGCGGCTCGATACGCATCGCATTTACATATTATTGCTATTATTAGGTAAACGATCCTCCGCCGAGCGCCTCTTTAACACTACCCGCTCGCGCTCGCTCTCTCGCCCTCCGGGCTATTTTACGATCGTGGGGCCCCGCGTGCGAGCGGGGAGAGCCTCCCCCTTTCTCGCCGCGCCGCGCGTCCCGATAAAAGCCCCGAGCTTCAAGCTCTCACCCGACAGTGTGCCTGGCTCGGCGACAAAAATTGAAGCACGACCCGGGCCGCGAGAGTGGGTGGCTGGAATTGTAAATAATCGTCCTGCGGGGAGATCGTTATCGGGCGTACACGGCGCTATCCTGTCCTCGCCGCCGGCGAGCGAGGACTATCGATGTCCGTGGCGTCTCCTCCTAAATCGATTTCGCCATCCAGCCGGCTTCTCTACACGTGAGGAGACGACCGCGCGTCGAGAGTATTAATGAACGGGATGTTTGTCGAGCTTAATTTTGATTCTCATCTCGGGACGCGATCGCATACAGGTTTCCCGAATATGCAATATAGAGCTGCATCATTAATTACGAACATTAAAGTGCCGATCGATCGAGTATTGCTTGAAATAACTTTGAAGTACTTATGAAAATATTTACATAATTTATATGCTCTTGTCATTTTGATAATAAGAAATTAAATTGTTGACATTGTCAGAAATTGATGTGTGATTATATTTTTCTTCTCCCCCTCTCCTCGCCTGATAATTATAGACAGCATAAATATTCGAAAATTATATTGCATGCGCTCCAGAAAAATGAAAGAATTACAATTTGTCCTTTTACAATCTAAAAAAGATCTTTGTAACAAGCTTAACATCTCCTACAGGTTTCTAACACCGACAGCTGATGTGATCGAGATACCGGCCACCCCGTATCTCGACATATAATTGCTTCGCGTTTCTCGACGTTCCTTTTTAAGGCTCGTAACGGCATGGCCGCATAGCTAGACCGCATGACGCCGGGCCCGTACTAAAGCCGCGCTTTTACGGGTCGGGAGTCTGGCCCTTTTCCCTCCCATCCCTTCCGTCGAGTCCAAACGAGGCAAAAAGGGCCCTAGTGGTCCCCGATAAAACAGAACGCGCAGAGATAGAATCCAAGAGGGAGAGAGAGAAGGAAGTGTTCCGAATCGTGGAGGACGAGAAAAGAAGGAAGGGGAGGGTTGTATGCGAGCGGGTACGCGCATACAATGGGGCCCCCGGGGGAAGAGGAACCGGGAGAGCAAAAGCGGCGAATTAATTGTCGCTCGCGCCGCCGACGAAGCCGCTGCGATCTACGGACCTGATTTGTGGACCGCGCGTATATATCACCGTGACCACACGCACACGCGTGTACGTGCACGGGGTCCCTTTTCCTCCTTCTAATACTCTCATCTCTTTCCTTCCTTTCCGCTCGGAGTCTCGCAGCAGAGGCTGCGAGGAGTTGCGAGGACGATGTGACTGCACCGAGACGGTGGTGGTGCTGGATGGCTGACAATGGAAACGAGCCCAGAAAAGGAGAGGGTATATGTGCACAAGGGAGAAAGATAGAAAACAAAGAGGGGAAAAAGAGAGAAAGATAGAAAAGGAGACGAGAGGGCGGTGAGGTAGGTAGAAAGAGGGACGAGGAGAGAAAACAGGAATAAGAACAGGAGCGAGAGGACCGTGCGCGACGTACACGAAGGTGAGCTCCGAGAGACGGGAGGAAGGGAGATAAAGGAGAGAGAGAGGGGTGACTTAAGGATCCGCAGAAAGAAGGAACAAGGTAGAAGAGCCGGACGATACTACGAACAATGCGCCAACCGGGTCCGCGGGTCTCCCCGTCTCTGTCTTTGTTCCTCTTCCATCTTCTTCTTATTCTTGTTTATTATTCAATGGGGCCAGAAGGTGCTCGTTAATTGATGGCACCGGCCATAGCTGAGCGGCGCGGAAGAAGGAAAGAGGAAAGCGAAAGAGGAAAAAGAAAGGAAGGGCGGAGGGAGGCAGAATCGGAATCGGACGGAGGAGAGAAAGCGGGGTGGGAGGACCGGCCTCCGCGCGGACCACCATCGCCTTATTTATAACGCCGGGGGGGTAACCGAATTCACGATCAAAATCCCGCGTTCCGCGGCATTGATGGATCGCCGTGCGCCGCGCAACGCCGGCGACGACTCTGGTATTTTCAAATGAACCCGCCCCTTTTTCCCTCATGATGCCTCCGCACACGGAGGAGAAATCGAGGGATAGGGGTGGAAGCGAGCCGTACCCCTCCCCCCTCTGCACCGCTCTTACCTTCTCTCTCTCTCTTTCTCTCGTCTCCCTCCCCATTCATCCCGGATGACATCGACGAATTCCGCGGGGCAACCTGCTGCCGCGGAGATGCCTCGGGGATTCGATTTCTATATGCAGGTGCTCGTTCGTTCTTTGGATCGATCGATAGATAGCGAAGAACCGCAAGATCGGGACATGCTTCCCCTCCCCCTCCTGTACGTTTGTATCCGAGAACTAAAAGATCGTAAGAATTAATGAAACACACATAAGTTTGAATAAATTTAATTCGATTTAAGTCTAGCTATATTAACAAATGGATCTACGGTGCCCGATCGGTTTTTATCTTAAAGGACGAAATTCTCTGTACGTCAAATTGAAGTAAATTTTTTTTTACCCCAACGTGAACTTAATTTGTTACGCTGTTGGCTTTTAAATAATTATACGTATCAGTTAGAATCGCTTTTGATACTTGCGTTGATTACGACGTGATACAAAATAAGACAAATCCGATAATCTTCGATTTCGCCTCTTCTGTCTTTGGAGTATACTGCTTTCCGGTAAAATTGCACGACGGAATGTAAACGGGGACACGCGGCGATTATGCGCACATAACGAGCCTAATTAAGCCCGTGCTCGAGCTCGTAAAGTTTCATGGCGAAATGAAGATGCATTATCGGCCGGTAATATGCAGTAAAAGCGCCTAATGATAACGCTGGTAGCACAGCCTTCGTCCAAGCGAGCTTATATCGCATCAACTTGTACACAACTTGTACCTTAATACTCTCATCATAAGTTTGAATCTATAAATATTGCGGACAGATTTAACAATTATTTCAAGCAGTCTCTTTCTAAAATTCTACGCCGTTGTTTTGGTAAAACGAGATTAGGTAGAATGTAATTTTCGAAGGCTTTAAATCCCTAAGCAAAACACGTATCATGAGGATTACTTTACAAGTACAGAAATAATTTTAATTCGACACATACATAAACAACAAAAAGAATAAATTAAGATTTGTAATCTATTAGTTATTGTCACACGAAATTATGTATCTACTACGTATCTATTATCCTTGTTAGCTTCTTTGTTAGGTATTTACGTCTTAGGTATATAAATAGTCCTGTAAAGTACTTCAACATTACTCATATCATTACACGACGTAAAATTTTAACAGCTCACTCTAAATTATCTCTGAGAGGGATGTTTTACAATAATGAAAAATTCTCATATTATCGCAGACTGCTGGGCCGCGGTTCCATGCACGTGTTCTCCAGCGAGCAATTTCAAAAGCTAATGGACGCGAGCGGCTTCACGGGTCCCTGGCATTCCTTGGTGGACCTCGGGGCAGGTGATGGCGCAACCACCGCCCACGTGGCGCATCTCTTCGAGAAGGTGTACGCCACGGATATCTCACCCCCCATGAGGTGGGCTCTGGCGAAGAGAAAGTTCACGTATGTAAATTTCGTTCAAGTAGCAGCTCCGTCTTTATTTTTCCACGGCCGTACTTTTTTTTTTAATGATACATATGAAAAATAAATGTTTATTAACAGCATTAGTCTTAGAAATAGTCTTGTTAATATCATGTTCTGATTTTAATAAAATAAGTATTTCTTTTATTAATACTGTTATTGAATTAACAAGATTATTTTCAATTAGATCTAATGCTGTTAATACATTTTTTGTCCATATACGACATTCTTACGAACTATGCAATTTACGAATACTACAACGGTCCATTTGATGATTAAAATTTAACATACCGAGACCAGCTTTAAAAGCTTATCGATTCCTGCAAATCTATTCTTTTTACTATTTTTACTATTTTTAGCAAGTATCTGGAATTTATGTACAAAATGCGCGGCGTGTAACTTAATTCGCCTGAAATTAGCATATTTTTGTAATCAAGAAACGGGAATATTTCCGAAATCAAGCGTTATTGCAGCCGTTGTACGCGCGCTTATGCAAAGGCGATTCGATCTGAATATTCTGAGAGGAATCTTTACTGGCTGGGTGGAAATTTTTCAACTGCAAAGCTCCCTTGCGAGCGCGCGGAGTCGCATATGCGAGAACGCGAAACAGATTACATTCTTTGAATCGAATACGTGCGGCCAAAGGTGGGCGGTGGAATCTTCGCTCCTTGAACGTGCATGCATTTACATTTTCTCGTAACAGCGACACACGCTCGGTAGATTCGCGCGCGACACATTTTATCCTCATCACAGCTTAAAGCGCCGCATTCGCGACATTTCCCTCGACATTTTCAATCCCCGGAGGAAATTACTTAAAATCCCAACATTTATTGTTTATGAATTATCGAGTCTTATGAATTAACAACTGTAATCAATTTGGAATCGATCTTTTCGTCGCGAGAATCTCTCCCGACATCCATTTTCTTCTTCTTTTGATTTTTTTCTTTTGTTTTGCGATTAAATGTATAATTGTCCTCTATTATCTACGACGAGAGTAAATACGCCGAGAAAAAGGAAGGTATCGAATTTATGCAAATCAACGTAGCGCGAATCGGATCAATAAGAGATCGGCGAGCACGGTTCGCGGTTACGCGATACGGATCCTCGATAATATAAGCGCGTGCAATTATGCGCGCCGTTCCCGAGCGAATTGAGGGGCCATCACGGGCGGTGTTATTACGGTTATCTCAAAAACGTGGGCTTCATTATAAAGTGAGATAAGATAATTGATCGACGAGCCGGGCCGGTCCCGGTCGTGCGTTCGCGCCGGCCAGCCGGCCGTCCGGTCGCAACGCGGCGCGACGGACCGATGCATAAAGCGGCACTTGTCGACGCTCGTGTCGATACGTAATATTCTCAACACGATGCGCCACTAACAAGTTTATTGCGTCGAATTGATTGGAGTAGAAGTTTACGGTGGTTTTACACCCGGAGCGGGCGGACCGGAGCGGACGCCACTACCGGGGACGCCGCCCCGAGTTGCTCTCAGCGCCGGGTCGCCACTCGAATTTTAAATGAGCGTCCGTGGGACGCGACGGATCCCGTAACTCGTTTTATAGAACTCCCGACTATCTCCGGGTATCCTCCCCGTCCGCTCCGCGGTAAAATTATCCGATGTCCTGCATTTCCGAAAAACTATTTGGCCAAGGAGAAATCTCAGCTCGGCTGCCACGTGCATCTGCTACCAAACACGCGATGGACTCGCGACCTTTTGTGAAATCTCGGATTATCATCGGGGAACTTCTCGTCGATTTTTTTCATGATAGACTAGCAATCATAGAAAGCGGGCGAAAATCAGAAAACTTATAAAATTAAAATTATCAAGTCGGTGTCAATTAAAAAAGTAATTTTGAATTATCACGATTAACGCAGGGAATCTCAATTACTAAACATTCTTTATACTTCCCTCCTCTTTTTACACTTATAATTTAGTATATTTCCTTTTAAAATAAAATAAAAATAAAAGAGTATAGTGCTATGGAACGCTAAAAATGAGAACTGCAAATATCCGAATAATCTGCACGAGATACAGAAAATCTTTTCCTGAACGTGCCTTTTAGTTCCTCTCTCTTTCGCAGAGTACTCGACGTGGAGAGATGGCACGAGGAGGCCGGTCCTTACAATGTCATCCTCTGCTTGAACCTTCTCGATCGTTGCGACCGTCCAAACACCCTGCTGAGGCTATTGAGGACCTCGCTGGCTCCCGGCGGCAGGCTGGTCGTCGCCCTAGTACTGCCGTTCAGTCCGTACGTCGAGGTCGGCGAGAGGAATAATCACAAACCGTCGGAGTACCTACCGGTGCGAGGGAACGAGCTCGGGATTCAGATAGCCAGTCTGATCGACCGGGTCTTCGCCCCGGTGGGTCTGCGATGCCTCGCCTGGAGCAAACTGCCGTACCTGTGCGAAGGCGATCTAGGACAGTCGTACTACTTCCTGAACGACGTGGTCTTCGTGTTGGAGGCGCAGCCAGTTAGTACACGATCCTGCGAGTTGGCGGTAAACGACGATGTTTCGCTGCGAAGGAACTTTTAGGGCTCGAAACCGAGCGGGCTGTGTATAATATTTAAGGATGATTATATAACGGGGGCCAGAGAGAAAGAGAGAAAGAAAGTGATACCAGGCGTGTCTTTCACACTTGTAAAAACTTTAATAATTGCTGTCATGAGTTAGAATTATGCGAGAATACAGAAGAGCAATACTGGCAAGCGACGACGAGCTTAATGTGCAGACACAGCGGTTAGCGTTTGGTGTACGAATATCAATTAGCGATCCGAGTTTAAAAAGGGAACGACGGATCGACAACGGTGCGCATTTTACAATCGTTTATCATCTTACTGTCGAATTCGGTGCGGAAACATGTACACGGTCTCTATGGTATAGATATGGCGCGAGAGTAACGAGATCCGGAAACGAAATCTGCCCTTTTCCTAACCCTTTCCTGATGTGCTCGACTCCGTTCGAGAGAACGTCCCTTTAAAATCAAATCTTACTAATTATCTAAAATAGTATAAATGGACGGTGTATACAAAGGAGAATATTAAACTATTGCACGTTATGGCGTCAGTTGCAGCAACTGCGGTAAAATCGCAAAACGAATAATGGAAAACGAATGTTTTTAGAATTTAATAATAATTTAATCTATAATATAAAGTGTATGACGACGCTATCGAAATACAGCGAATGTAAAGCAAAGAATAAAGAAACTTTGCTGCAGTGCTGCAACTTTTGCTTTAAAAAAAAATAAACGCACAACTCCCCGTCACATTTTGAACAATTGTGCTGTAGTATTCAAATCATTGATAACGTAAGATTTATCTCGGACGCAGCCCCTAACGTATATTTCCAAATTCTATTTTGGTATATTTGACCAATCCCTTATCCCGTCAGACTCTGTTTCCGCGCTCCCTTTTCTCTATTTGGCATAAGTTGCAACGACTTAGTCATGGATATGCTTAATTGCGTTGATCACACGGACCGACCGATCGAGATACAAACATACGACGTTACGTTTGCATTTTTTGATAATAATATATAATATTATAAGAAATAAGTCCACCTAGTTATTGGAAATACACTTTGGTGTGCAACAAGTTATCGTCGAATTATGAACCATATTGCAGCAGCCTTCTTGTCAATATATATATATTATATATGTATGTCAACAAAAACGCAGTCTATAGAAGCCGGATCTACACTCGTTTAAACAGCTATAATAGCCGTGGAAAAAATAAACAAATAAAGAATCACTGTCGAGAATTATTCTCCAGACTTGTTAATTGTCATCGTATCTCCGCATGCTTCCCATTTTCGAACACAATAGGATACAGACTAAAATAAAAGAAACGACATGAAAGAGAGCAATAATTTGTCCAAAAAAAAAAACAAAAAAAAAAAAAAAAAACAGAACAAAAGATAATAAAAAAATCGCATAGTCTTTCAAATCATGGATCCGACTCCTAATTGGTAATCGATCGGCACATTCGCTGCATACGTGTAGTAAATAATAACAGATACATGTATAGAAAGACATCTTCAACATACGCGCATTCATATAAAATTTTGCTATTTGATAGCCAAAACTCCACATTCTTGCAGACACATACACACAGCCCGCAAAACAGAGCTCACGCATTCGAGTGTCGCGCGCGCGATCTTGCATTCGCGCGGTATACACGGCATTTATCGCTTACATCCAAAGACGAACGTCTTGTAACTTTACATTATCGAGAAAGAAGGAAACATTTTATCATACCGCTTATATGCGCATATAACAACCGAGTAGGAAACGGTTTTACTCCTGCAACCGATACGATATGCCGTTTGCCCGAGGAAGTGTTCGATCGAAGCCACAAACGCAATTCCTCTAATTTGCAGTTTCCCTCGCAAGAGTAAAAACGTTTCTGCGTAATAATACTTAGTGCACGGTGAAGTCTTTGAGCGTCAGTGCAAATCACACCCCCTTAAAAGTTTCTCATAACAATTTCGTTCTTTTTCCTTTTCTACGTATATATTAAGAAATAATTTACTTTTTTAAAAAATACCTATATGAATTGACCAATGATTTCTTTTTTTTACTTGCACACCGCATATATATACTGCCCATGGAATTACAAATCTTTTAACATTCGTAACGCATGCTTGTTCAACGAACAGTAGAAATAACAATGATATATGTTCATCTCACCCTTAAAAATAAATAATAACGCATATATATAAATCTTTTTAAAGGAAATATGTATACATATAAATTGTATACATAAGTTGAACACAGTAATTATTTCGCTAATCGAATAACTCGATTCATGTTAATTCAAAGTTCTAAAGAATATATATATTTAACAAACAAGTTAAAAACAAAATAACGAGTTCAATAATCGAGAAAACTGTCAACTCTTTCTTTATGCACCTATGCCGCGAATGTGGAAGTAGCAATCGATTAGCAGCAAAAGCTTTTGTACCAGACCAATTTAGTCTTTGCTTCTCATTTCGACTTAAGTTTTATACGCCTACATAACAGCTTTATACATATAAAAAAGCCTTATATGTTATTAATCAGGTAGTAATTATTGGAACACAAACGGCAAATTATTAAATCGGTAAATATAAATGCTATTCATATCGAATATTCATTGTTTATGTAATTGACGTAATCGTAAATTACGTAACTCAGTCGCTGGGCTTTCGGTATAATCGCGGGATTAATCGATAGATTATTTCCGAATAAGCCCCATAGGCAGATCGAGAGCAATGACAATATGAAATCAAATTACAGCGATGAAATAAACCTAGTAAGAATCCCTAAGATGACGCGGTGTGAGAATTTAGTCCTACATATAAATCTTTTTGTTTCACGCTACCCACGTTTATCACAGTCCACGCATGACTCATTTTGTCTCTTAGTATTTGAAGTCCTAAACGCCAACAACTTTTTTGAGCAATCCATCGGGTTGTTTAGATACGAAACACCCAGCTAATCAATAAACATCTTGTGACTAGAACATCATAGAGCGCAAAAAGACGAAACTTGGTCTGTCGCGAGTAAAGCGAAGACGACAGTTAGTCTAGCTTACGCTGCTCGCATAATTCTTCCATCCCGCCAGCTTTTCTGTTAAGAAAACCAATAGAATGTATATAGTAGGAGAGAGATATATATATATTAGCAATAGAGTTAAAGGCAGTAGTCCCAGTAAAATTACTTACAACGTTGACAGGTAAGGGGTACCGGTGTGATCTAATCGGTGTTTATCTTCGTTTTTCCAGCTCGAGACTGGTATGTGTGGAGGCGGCAAGAAGCTTCTCAACGATTGTACAAGCTGTATTGTATCGACCAGTGCTGCAATTGGGAACAAGCAACGTGAAAATCTTTGTAACTACTTTGAGAAAGAAAACTTATATAAAATTTTACAGTGCAATAAATGTTCAGAGAACGAAAGGAAAAGGAGAAACGAAAAACAGTTGGTAAAATTGAGAATTACTTTTTTGCAGGGCCTCGGATTGTTTGCCGTACGGCTTACACATTGCCGGCCGTACGCAAGCTTTCATTCTTGCCATGTTTTTCATCACTTCTGCAAAAGTACGCACAATCTTCTCTTGACCACCTGAAAGTAGATTCACGCGTTAATTTTTAAACTTAATTTTAACGTTAAAAGCGTGCATTACGCCGCGCGTATGCAGCGAATTCTTAATCACCTTCCGAATTTGAAGACGATGACCGGGATCCCTTTTCACTTTCTAAAGGCCATGCGCCGTTGTGCAGCGCCAATAGGTCCTTATTGGCGTTCCCTAATCCTTGTAAGTTCCCTAAACCGAGAGAAGTCAGATTGTCCAAGTTATCCAGATTGGTGCGTAAAAAGTCCGTCAACTTGTGATCGGAGATTGGTATATTAGGTATTAGAGATTCGTAATGCTGCTTGCCGGATGGCACTTTCTTCTCTTGCGATACAGGCCGATGCGGAATATTTAATGACGGACGGCTTGGAGGACGTTGAAGATTCATTTGGTTACCAGCACCCCTCATCTCCGATAAATCCGCCGCGGATCCTCCCATGTGTGTATTCGGATTAGCGCTGCTTAGGCTCTACGGAGATAAACGTCAGACATAACAAAATGTTACGAAACTCAACTTATGTAATAGCAAGCGACAAGTAGGAGATATCGTATAAAAAGTTTGCTCACTGCCTGGAAATCTGTACTATGTGGAAAACCGCTGCGCAGAAGGGACGCGGTCGCTTCGTTATCCTGGATGTAAGTCGGTGCCATGTGGCCCATCTTCTGAGTGAGCTCCAGCTGATTTTTGTAATAGCGACAAGCTGGATTCGGACAGTTTTGCACGACTTCTATAATAAATTCCTTCTCCATCCCGAAGCACTCTCTCCCAATGGTGTAAGATTCCATGACTGCTCTGACCGTACCCTCCAAGCCAAGATGTAAGCCGTGTGGCCCATTCATGTGTTTCAACATTACGGCGTTGGCGAAGTGTTCGTAGGGTAGTATTATCTTGCCGTTCTCTCTAAGGACTAATCTTCCCTGCGAATCCAGTGCGACTCGAGATGCCATCATCCTGTAAACATATCAAACGCAGTGAATATTTTGCAACAAACGCAAAGAAGCTGTGTTTAACTGCAAAAACAACGTTTATCCTCACTGTAAATAAGCGGCGCTCGGCATCATAGAGGCATCCTTGAATTCCGAGAAGCACTGCAGGAGCTCGATACTCGGATTCCATCCTTTATTTTGCAGATACGCTTGTAACAACATGTACATCTTCTCCGTGACGTATCCGGCGCTGCTCGGGGTCGCGGAATAACCCGATCCTCCACCCGGCGGACCCATTTCAGTTTGCATACCTTTGGCAACAATGTTCTTCATAGTTTCCGCCAGGTCCATTCTGCATACATACAATCGGACACATGAATGAATCTTTCAACACAATGAAATTGCGAGTAAAATCTCTTTACACACAAAGATCTATTCGATACACAATCTTTATCAGATGCATCAGGTGCAAAAGGATTAATCGTCAATTATTTATACAACATATACACGGAGAAGGAAAAAAACGCACAAATAGACGCCGATAGTGCCAGCGATCGATACGCGTCGCGACAATTTCGTTCATCCATTATCGCGCGCGACCCCGCAGCTCCGGGAAGAGTCGCCGTCGAACTCCGGCCGGTCGAGAACGTCGGCGAGCGTGATCGAGAGCGCGCGGACTTCCGCCGCGCGCCGAGCACGCTTCATCGCACGGTGATCACCGGACACCGAAGCCTGCTCGGGCGGCTCGGGCCGCTCGGGCGAGCCGCGTCCGTCGGCACCGTCGGCCGACGGCGGATCGCTCGTCGTCGGACCCGTCCCTGAGCGACGCCGAGCGCGTTCGGCCATTGTTATCGCCGAGCGGACCGGCGAGAGAACCGATAAAAAAAGTGCCCCGGCCGACGCCGCCGCCGCGCGCGATCGAGCGAGCGAGCGAGCGGAGCGGGCGAGCCACCGCCCCCCTTTCCGTCACGCGCAGGGGGGACGTGCCGCCGTACAACGCGGAACGTACATTACTCTCCGGAGTCTCCGGTACGTGCACTCACCCCGTGCCGCGGCCGTCGCTGCACCACCTCCACTCGCGGCGTAGCCGGGTAGCCCCAGGAGCCCGTCCGTCGCCGTCAGTCGCCGCTCCTCGGCATCGCCTAATTAATTAAACCCCCGGATCACATTTGCAAATAACATAAATCGCGATAATTATTTCCGCGAGGGCTCACTTGCACGGTCCGCCGCCAGGGGCGCACCGCGCTCTACGCGCTTTTCGGCCGCGTGTATACATGTGTGCGTACGCGTGGGTGTGCACGTGTACGCGTCGCACGCGGGATGGCGGGGGGAGAGGGCGCCCACGTGTATATACGTGCATACGTGCGCGCGCGAGCGCGCGGACGTGTGTGTACACACGGGCGGCCCGGCTGCGCTTACGCGACGCCACTTTGCGCATTTATCAATATTACTTTTTACAATTGATATATTACGCCGACTCGCGGCACGCCGCGGCGCGCGTCGCGACGCGTCGCGTCACGTCGCGTCGCGGCGCGGCGCCGAATACTCGCGCGCGATCGTTGAACCGCCGGGCGAGTAAACGTCCCCGCGAGGGGCAAGGCCGAGATAACATTATCGTGCGTTAACCCTTTTGGGAAGCATCCGCTCTTCCTTCCACTATATATTCTTATTAAAAAAAAGATCCTTATCATCCGGAAAACTGTCCTTCCAACGTATCCCGATTTTCCTACAAAGTATCGGCTCCGATTTGACGCGAAACGACGCAGTATATCGCAACGTTTTTTAATCTACTAATGATGACTAACGTTAATCATGCGCGCACGCGCATATAGGTGTTTTTTTATTTATATTGTATGGTAGTTTTTTTTAGAAGCGCAATTATTCTCACGGTGGATTGTTGATTTACAGTCGCGCAGAATTTATATCTTTTTATGTTCAATGTCCATTTCTCTATCAATGTAGATTAACTTTAATCTCATTTTAACTTACTTTTTATCTTTTCCTAATTCTTAGAGCTATCTGCATTGACAGAAATGAACATTAGGGCGACTTTGATTAAACTACGATTAACTTAATCTCGACAATTAACTCAATGGAATTGTTTACAGCAAAATTTTGAAATATAATTCGTTGTTTTTTTTTAATGTGATCTTTTTTTCTACATGTAAGCAACAAAAATTAATAATTTTACCGACGTTAACAAAATGGACATTAACCACCTATTAACTTAATCAGCAATTGATTCAATTAGCAGAATCGCTTGAAGCAAAAATTCTATATATAATTCTAATTCTATATAATTCGAATAATTCTAATTCTAACTCTAACTCTAACACTAATTCTATATAATTCTAAATAATTACTTAAAATTTTCTCTCTCATTAAACAATTACTACTTCTATCTGTATTAGCGAGATAACACAAGTATTACTTGATAATTATAATCATCGATTAATTTAATCAGAATCATTCAATCAAAATTACACAGAAAAAAAAGAAATATCAAATCTTATATACTCTGACTCGTATATACATAAAACAATCTATAATCGTCTTATAAGAATTTTAACTTTTCATTTTAACTTTTTATTTTAACGCTTATTGTCGTTGCGTTGTCACATAGCTCGTGATAATTAGCTTAATTAACGTCGGTATGAAATATACTTGTTAGCGCATCATTGCGAACTTGCGAGAGTAGCTTAACAGTGTACATGTTGTGAAGCTAAGTACGTGATACGGAGTCAATCGATAAAAGACCGAAAGTACTGAAATAGTTGGCCGTCTCGTGCGCGTGACGCGGCCAGCGCGCATGAAATTAAAACGCGACGGGAAGCGATGATTGTCCATTTTTAGCGCCGCTCGCGCGTCTCGTCGAGCAAGTGGGCAGAATTATATCCCGATCAATCCAACCCGCACGCCCACGTACGTACGCGCGCACACGTAACAATTCATTCCAGCGACGCGTGGCGTTTTCGAAATTTAAATCGCACGCGCGTGGAACGGGGGTCACGGGGGGAAAACGCGCACACTGGTGCCAACCGCGCGCGCGCAGGCCGCGGCGGAGATTCCCAAATAGTGTAAACATGGCCTCGCGGTACAGTCACGGTGTCCAGCGAGTTCTAGCGAAATTGGAGGCCTCGATAAATTCCGAAAACTATTATGAGGCCCATCAGATGTATCGAACTTTATATTTCAGGTGAGATTCGGCGGGCCCGGCCGCCCCGCGCGGTCGAAGCGCGCCTCCGCGCCTTCAAAACCCTTGCCCGTTTCTAACCTCCCTCCGCTTGCAGATACCTCGGTCAGAGAAAATACTCGGAGCTCCTGGAATTGCTCTACAACGGCTCGATGCTTCTGTTACAGCACGAACAGGTACGCGTAATTGTTCGCGCGCGTCGTGAGTGTCGAGGGATTTTTTTTAACGTGTTTCCCGTAAAACGATTTCTGCAATTTTTGTCAGCGAGACCGAACGCCCGTAGGGCCCGTGTGTCTCCAAGTAAATCATAATTAATAACCGAGAGATGCGCCGCTGTCGCGGATATGATCGGTCGCGATGAAAGTGAGGAGCAATTTCGATGATATTTTACGCCACGTTTGCAACCTGTGCGTTTCTTGCAGCACGCAAGTGGAGCCGACTTAGGAATTTTATTTGTCAACGTTTTAATGCAATCTGGAACGGTACCTGTGCAAGGCTTCTTCGAAAAGATCACGAGCCTGTTCAGTTTAATGAGCCCTACGTCTCCGGAAAGGGAGGTGTTTGTGCAGTCTGCGCTTAAATGGAGCGTAAAGGGTACGGATTACAAAACTGGTCATCCAGATTTACACCAGAAGATAGCTCAGGTCTTTTGGAGAGGTAATTTTCTGATTTTTACCGCACACTTGTTTTGAACGCGCTATACATAATGGATCTATTTTTCAATCAGAAAAGAATTACATAATGGCGAGGCAACACTTTATACATAGTAGAGATGGTTCTGGATGTGCCGCGATGCTGGTCGAACTTCACGAGCAGCGTGGATACATGAACGAAATAGATCTTTTTATAGCTCAAGCAGTCTTACAGTAAGTTGATCGACTTTATGTCAATTTTAATATTGGAAGTCTTATTAAAAATGTATCGTAGTAAGAATAAATAGATATAACAATATAGCAGATTTAGGGAACTAGAAATATTGGAATTATTTAAGATTATTATACAAGTTTCATACATATAATCATCAACCTTTCAGGTATCTTTGTTTACAAAACAAAGCAACGGCGCAAGAGGCCTTCAATTCTTACACTTCGAGGCATCCAAAAATAAATAGCGGCCCGCCATATCTTCTTCCTTTATTAAACTTCTTGTTTTTTCTACTCAAAACCATTGACAGGTACGTCATATACTCGATATACATTTTTCATTATATAAGCACTTCCTCTATTCTCCTCCGATGTGATATTTTGCAGTGGTAAACTAGCGGTGTTCACAGTACTTTGTGAACAGTACCAGATATCTTTAAACAGAGATCCGTGTTATCGACAGTACTTAGATAAAATAGGCCAACTTTTTTTCAATATTCCACCTCCGCGCCCGCGCAATCAGGGATTATTTGGCTCGTTATTGCAATCCTTCTTCAACGGCCTGGAGGACGACGATTCGGACGACGAGCAACGAAATACAGCCTCAACGTCGCACGCCGCGCAAGAACTTGATTGATTAAAGGTGAGGCAACACTGTGCAGTGTGATGCTGAATATCGAACTTTTTATATATTATTCATCGACCCAAATACTTTCACTAACTGCACCTGTGTTAACCGACAATGAAATTTCAAATTGCGGACGTTATCGTTTACGACAAAAGAAAAAAAGCTAAAAGAATTACTGTTGTTTGAAGAAATGGTAATTCGGAACTATGTAGAACCCTGAGAGTACATGGGACGACTTCTTACGGGAATTTATCAAAGTTGTAAGTTATTTACACTGAATTCACAATAGTAGAATTCAGATAGGCATCTTTATTATTTTATACATATCTAATATTTTCTATACTACTTTTAGTCAAGTAAGATTTGTACATGTGCAATAATGAGACGCATGATTTTGAATAAAAAGCCTTGATTGAATAATATTTGAAATGTGTAATAATGATCAATTTGCGTGTAAAAATTTGAAAGAGTATGAGTTGACTCTTGTGATAAAAGTCAATATTTTCATTCCGTACATACTGTTATGAATTCAGCAATTATACTTGGACTTTGAATAAAATCCTTGCCATTAGCTACAACCCGTATACCGTGCATATAACCACATGAATATATACCTGCGTGTAACTGCTGGATCGAAAATTTATTTTATATAAACTAAAATGCGTGTGGACAAATAAATGTGACATAATTGTAGCTTCCGAAAAAAAAAGAATGCTTACCGAGACTGCTTGTTGCTAGGACATCGAGAAAGAGAGTTATACTTGGAGCAACGAGCGATATATTTATTTATTGGATTCTATATTGATATGGGTAATCATTTAAAACAATAGAGAAATAAAATTCATATATTTAACTAAGGAAATAAAATGACCATCGCACTGTGTAATAAAAATCTTCACAGCATTAACTAATAAAAGTAATATAATATTGCTGTGTAAACGAAAACGGAACCATAGACATTTGACTAATAAATTTAGCTTTGTAATAAATATATCTCTCTAGAAACACATGTATATGTACTGAGTATCCTTTATTATATATTTCATTGTCTATTACGTTATCAGAATTATTTAAACCAAAATTGTTATAATAATATGATAATAATAAATTATAATTGATACTTGCATCATAGGATAAATCATAATATTCATAATTGATACTTGCATTATAGAATAATCGAAAAATTCTACATTTTTAATTGTTCTTTTGTAAAAAAATTTAAGCAATGTATATTAATTTGATGAAAATGATGTAATATTAATTCTCCGTTTGATAATACTTTGGAATGTGTATGTGTGGGATTAGTCTTTTGAAGATTTAACTTAGGTATTATATTTGTATAAATTATATACTTGAAAAATAATAATAACAAATAATGGTTACCCGATATATTATTCTAATAGCAGCTCCTCCTCCGTGTATTCGATAGAAATACTTAATTTAATAGATGTATGTGAATTGAGTGAAACGTGCAAATATGCCTCTGTCATCATGTTCCTAATTAAAATACTATCTCACAATATAACGGATTTATCGATACTCGCAACACTTATTCCTAAATCATATGACGTAATATTTTTTACAAAATATTTTTTTATCTTGCTAATATCTATGCCATTTTATGTTGGAAACGTCAAGCAAAAACGATAAATACGTTAAAATTTTCGCGAACATGATCAATATGAAGATGGTATATGTTATAGAGAAATGACAAAATCAGTGATTATAAGTCATTAAAAGAGTGATATATTAACAAAGTCAAAAATATTAAAACAAATTAGAATATAAAATTTATGTTCAATATTACGTTGTACAAATAAAAAACAATGCTAAACCTAAGAGGACGGGATATATAAGATATGATACATGCGATGTATGCGTGTGTATATATGTATGTGTGTGTATTGTATTTAAATAAGCAAGATAGTGTTTGATTGACTACGCTAATCAATTAAATTAATCAGAATTTGGTCAAAATCACCCTTGTTGTTACGTACAAATCAAATATTTGTAGCTAGCTTATGTTAATTAACTTTAATTACCGCAGTATGAAATGTACTTAGAGCATTATTTTGTGAACTCGAGAGAAATTTAATAACGCAGAACGAAGGCTACGTAATATGAACCCAATTGATAAAACACCGAAAGTGTGTTGAAATGGTTGACCCGCGACATTACTACCACACGATGATTGTCCATTTTTAGTGTGACGAACGTTGCAACTTGCGGTTTCGTCAATTTAGGGAGGAGGAAAGAGACCGGACAGACATTCTCTTATCAATATCCCGCAATCACGGTCCAGCGTCATCAACCACGGCGACGATGATAATAACGCATGACTTTCGGCTGGAATTTGAATTTGCGCGAATATCGCGGATACACGCACTGACGCCATTGATGCTAATGTGTGAGCAATTTTTAATCAATGTAAACATGGCCTCGTGACAGTCTCCGCGCGTTTGAGAAATCAAAAAGGCTCTGACAAAGTCGGAGGGTTATTATGAAACCCAGATGTATCGAACTTGTATTTCAGATAACAAGAAAATTGCACACTAGCAAACGCTAGTTCTTAGACTCAACATTCACCGCCGATACTTTAAATTCACATTTTACATAACTTTACGTAAACTGTAGATTTTTAGTTTACTCACTGGCGGTGAGTATTACCGTGCAGCCTTAGTCATGTATTATTACGTTTAAAAGTATCGTCAGGCCACTCTATCTTTTTGACATATCCCAAAATGGATTATCATTTTCGCCTCCTTCACTTGCAGCCATTAGTTTTTCAATAAACCTAATAAAAATAAGGCATACGTGGGATCGAACTTGACATCTGCCAACTGGGGTCCACGTGCTCACGGAGCCACGCGTCACATAAATAATATTAAAGAGAGACATAAATAATGTTGAAAATAATAACGAACTTTTCGTCATCAAATAAATAACAATTTGTAGATAGCAAATCAGATAACACGTCTGATTATTATAATCGTCTTAAATCATATAAATTTTCTTTTTGTATAATTACATTTTCGTTTAGCATGCAATTTTTTTACACATTATAAGTAGAGCGTAAGAACACTGTAAAATTATAAAACTGGTAGATTTGTACCAGAAGAAAGCTCGAATGTTTCAGATACTATTTTGGGAGAAATTTTACGATACTTTTATTTTGTGCCTGCTTAGATAAAGGATCTATTTATTAGAATAGATTCTGAATGTGCCGCGTTGAATTTCACAATTTTAGATACACGAATAATATCTTTCTTTGTCACGAAACAGATCTCTTTGTAGAAAAATACAACAATAATTTAAACCTATAATTAATGGCACAATGAAAATTTAAATTGGAACATTAAGCGAAGTATGTTTCGTGGTTAATATGTTTCGTGACCAGGAATCGAAAATTGCCTCGAGAAAGTTTCCACTTCCTCCCTCAGAGCCGCAACCTTTGCTTTAATATTCTCATCGGTATTTAATACTCTCTTGTAGTCAACCAGCTTTGGGCCGGAAATAGCACTCACTTCCTTCGAAAGTTGCAATCCTATACAGAAATAATATTGAATTTATTATTAATCTCATTATATGCTATACATATTTAAGTTACAGTGTTTGATTCGTTAGTGCTCAGAAACTGTTCCTCGTGACATAAAAATGTCACAAATAACAAATATAAATCGCCATAGTATTCTTTCGTAATTTAGCGATCGAAGTCACTGAACACTAACGAGTTCTTGTGATACTGAAATATTTGTAATACTTACCTCTGTCTATAAAGTCCACAACTTTATCCATATCTTTCTCGACTAAGCCACGAGTAGTGAGCGCGGGCGTTCCTAAACGGATACCACTAGGATTCAACGCACTTTTGTCACCGGGAACAGTGTTCTTGTTACAGGCGACAGAAATGTCTTCCAAGATCTTCTCGGCCTTTGAGCCGGTTACGCCCGCGGATCGTAGATCCACTAACAGCATATGGACGTCCGTGCCGTTGGAGCTGATGTTATAACCGCGCTCTTGCAAACCGGCGCACAATCTCTTCGCGTTAAGCACCACTTGCTTCTGATACTCGAGGAATTCCGGTGTCTTCACCTGTTTCATAGTGGTAGCTATAGCGGCGATAGCGTGATTATGAGGCCCACCTTGAAGACCCGGGAAGACCGCTTGATTTATTCTACTCTCTATGTCGTACATAATATTCTTGCCATCCTTCGTGACGCTTCGGACGCCTTTCCGGAAGAAAATAACGCCAGCGCGCGGGCCTCTGTGAGGAATTGGACAAAGAAAACATCTCGCTCTATTATTTTAATCACTATGATAAAAAATATGCTCGCAATCATTAGGAAATGGCTCCATACCGTAAAGTTTTATGTGTAGTTGTCGAGACAACGTCACTAAATTCGAAAGGACTGGGTATTAATCCGGCGGCGACCAGTCCGGACACGTGAGCCATGTCGCTGAAAAGGTAGGCGTTGTTCTCGTCGGCAATTTCGCGAAAACGTTTGTAGTCCAGGCACCTGCTATAGCAGGAGACTCCAGCGATGATGACTTTCGGCTTGAACAATCTCGCCTGCTTCGCGAGTCCATCGTAGTCGATCAAGCCGGTCGTAGGATCAACCTTATACGGCATCGATTCGAAAAAGATGGATGTAGCAGAGATCTTCTTGGTCGCCGTGAAGAAACCTAGCGCACAAACGCAGTTTAAACGAAACAGTGCCCAACATGCACGTGCAGTTTCTTCGATTTATTCGCGTTTACCGTGAGTGAGATGGCCACCATCGGGTAGATCCAAACCCATTATACGTCCGTGAGGCTCCAACAGGCCCGTGTACACCGCGAAATTCGCCGGACTTCCCGAATAGGGTTGCACGTTGCAGCCCCATAGCTCAGGATCCAGATTGAAGGCTTCCAAGGCGCGTTTCTGCGCCAGCAATTCAATTTCATCGATAAATTCGTTTCCACCGTAGTACCTACGATTGCAATAACAACAGAAAAATAGTCAGTCTTGAACGAGGGATATGCTCGTAAGAGGAACGCGGTATGAAAAAGTAATCGTATGTACGTGATACGTAATCTCACCTTTGACCAGGCAATCCTTCGCTGTACTTGTTGTGCAAACACGAACTCAGGCACTGAAGTACGCTGAGAGATGTGAAGTTTTCACTCGCGATCAGCTCCAGCCCGGATTCCTGCCGTTTCTTCTCCTTCTTCATCAGCTCGAAGAGCTCGGGATCGCTCTCCCAAATATTCTTACGAAGTATCGCAGCCATGCCCTGTCGACAGTCATAACAATTTTTACTTTATATCCTCTGTAATCAATTTTAATCATTTATACATTTATTTATATCTACTAATATTATCATACATGTGAACAGTTAGGTAATAATTGACTATTAAACTTCTTGCGTTTGCAAAATATATTTTTTTTCTCGATCCGACAATACCTTAATGTAATAAATTTACAGAAATCAATTAAATTGTACAAGAGTTTTGATAAAGTAGAAAATTTGTAGCGTGTTGCTTCGACTGCGATCCGACGTGCAATGCGCTAAGTAGATATATAATATCGTGTGAATTGTTAGCTCATACCACACTAAAGTGACTAAAGTTCATACTTCCAACGATAACCCCTTGCGTGGTGCAATTACATTGACAAACATTGATGTATAATAGCGTAAAACGTTACGATGATTCGTTTGACGTTGCAAATAATGGATAAACAATCTCTCTGCGTGATAAATGTAATATGTACGTATCAACATGACGTAAAAACTATAATAGAATAATTCGCGGTAAATTAAAAGTACGTTCCGGAAAAATGATCAATTAAGGCTATTAAGGAAAAAATATCGTCAAACAACTTCGTGATTGTTACAGTAAAGGCATAATTAATGTTTATACAAATCTTATATAACGCATGAAATAATAGAGAGATAAGATAAATATAAAATGTATAAACTAACAAAGATACAGGAAAAATTCTTCATTTGTAAGAAGAGATTACTGTTATCTTAATAATGAAAAAAAAAGACACAATTAATCGATTACGATGTTACAAGGACGAAGAGAAAATCTATTCCGATTCAAGTGCATTCGCGTAATATTATTGTCAAAGGCTAAAATTATATTTCAAATAGAAATGTGCGAAAGTTCAGCCTTAAAAGTTCAATTACGAAATAGTTATTTTTGTCATTGATGGAGATGGAGTCCTCAATGTATCCTTCAGCAACTGTATTGGATTTCCAGCGTCGTTTTAATGTTGTTATGTCTGCTCCAGAGTCTCCTAGCAGCGTGGCAGAAGTGCGACGAAAGGTGCCAGTGTAAGAATGAGGATTTGCTAATTGTAGATATGATGCGATAATTGTTGGAATCTTTCCGAATTTGTTGATTCCAACTGGTTTTTTGATGCACTTTCCATTTTGATAATTTAGAAAAAATCTTGAGGTTTCGACGTTTTTTGGTCTCAAATTTATATATTTTTTAGATATAGTGTAGAATTCATCGGTGATTATGAAAGATCTTGGTTTGTAAGGTTTTGTAGTTGGAATTTTAACGAGCAAGATAGTTTCTTTGTCTTCGATGTCATTAACTTTTATTTTGATGAGATCCTCTCTTCTGGATGCACCACAAATTCCAAATATCATAGCTACCTGTAAATAATTTAGTATATATGTACACATTGTATAAAATTTTTTATTAACGTAAAAGTTTATGTTTGTATTTGATACATTACCTTTATAAGTAAATAATTTTGGTCATCAGCTTCGTTGAGAAATTTTTGAATTTGTTCTGATGTTAATACTTTTGATTTTTTTGGTGTATATCCTTGTGACTGTCTCTTCAGGAATGGAATGAGTCTATTATATTTGTTAATATTAATATTGTTGTTAATATTTAGAGTCGTTTTGAGCGTTGAGTAAGTTGACCATAAGGTGGATGGCTTATGTATTTTTGATAATTCTGTGAGATATGTTAATATTGTGCTTTCCGAGATGAACGTTTTTTTATCAATTGTCCACTGTATAAACTTGTTATATGTATTTGTATATTTTTCTTTGGATTTTGAAGGTAGATCTTCTATCGTGTTTTTTGCAATTTGTGCCATCTCTGGAGGTGTTAGTTGGTCGTCGCTATCGGTTTCTGCCGTTTCTGGTAAGATGTCTGGTATGATGATGTTTTTGTCACTCATTTTTTATTTTTTATTTTTTAGTAACTTGTTGCGAATTTTTTTTTATTTTTTTTTATTTTACTGTGTATGTCACAAATGACTTTACTATGTACAGTTATTGGGGAAGGTTATGTCTGAGTATCGCTGTGGTAATTCGTGGAGTATTTCCGCGCGCCGCGAGATGTCGGAAGATGTGAGAAATAAAAGGACTCTAGTCACTAGTGGAAAAGACATACAGAATGGCCGCGTTCAGCAGACACAACTGTTGAGTTCGTCTTATCAACGCTCTGCGTTGATTGGTTGGTTCTAAAAGTAAGAGCCACGCACGTTTGACTGCTACTCAGCGGCTTGGTCTGCTGAACGCACCCAATGATTGAATAAGGAGAGTGTCGGAAATGAGTTGTGCGGGAATGAGAGACTGTGCGGGAATGAGATATTACCGCACTGTTTCGAGTGGAAAATTTCTCGTGTGTGGACGTGGCTATTTGTCGCACAAAAAACACGCGCGTAATGGGCCACTTTCCACGCACGTGTTATATAAAAACTGTTCAAAGCCGCGAATATATATATATAAGAAAGTAAAGTATAATATGCATTATTAAACCTGCATTATTCTTTTAAATTTAGAACGTTAGTAAAACTTATAACTATTAAACTTATAAATTTAAAGATAGAATTTAAATAAATTTCTCAAACTGATCTCTGAAAATTCTATTTTATTTAATAATTAATATAAAAATTGCCGCTCTTTCTCACGGTCGGCAGGGACCCTCCCATTTCGCTTCCGCTCAGCTACGGCCCTGGCAAAATGCTAATCAAGTACAATCAAAGAAGCTAGAACGCATTCTAACGCTCGTTCTCGAGCAGTCGGAGCCATGACTGACTGCAAACAATGGGAGCTTTCCAGCAAGTGACACAAGCCGACACAAACGTCGTTCTATCTTTCTTTTTTGGCAATGAGTAACAAAGACAAAACGATACCTGTGTCGACTTGTGTCGCTTGCTGGAAAGCTCCCAAAGAGCTTTAAATCGTTTCGACTTTTGCGTTGATTTCACACGAATATCCGAAGATGATCTCGAGGATCATCTTCGGCTGTTAAGCTACCGGTTGTCCATGAAAGAGGACTTTTCACTTTCGTAAATTCGAAAAATAGCGCAAATACACGCCAATTGCGGGTTATTATCGCACATAAATCGTTACGGCGCGCTGCGCGATCGCGAACAAAACTATATCAACAATAATTACTGATAAATGATTACTCGAAAAATACTCACTAGTTCCGGTGTGCAACACGTGGTCGAGAGATGATAACCTCGGCTACGCGGAGGGCCGTACGCGTCTGCGAGGCGTCCTTGATCGGCAAAGTCCTTTATATGTCGGCCGCGGGCGCGCAGCAGGTTCTCGACCAATTGAAAACCGCGCCGATTCAAACTCGACCAATTCCCGGCCATCTTTGTCGCGCGCACGTGGCGTATGTGTATTGTGTGCGTGCGCGACACGCACTCGGCACTACGCAGTCAGCCGGCAGCGATCGCGGCTGGTCGATTGATGGTGTTTGTGCACGTCCCTGTAGACGTCTACTTCGTGCGAGGCTGGCTGGCTAAACCCAATTGCAATATTTGCAATTCCTCAATTTCTGCTCGCAGAATCGAGGCACGAACGCCCGGGTCGTTTATGGACACGACAGCCGCGAAATATCGCGTGACGAAGCACGTCGCGTCTCGTGGACGCCGGTATAAAAGCGCAGACGCGAGGCGTCCGCGACTCGTGCCCACACTGGCCCACACTGCCCACGTGTCTCGCGACGACGACGTCGCGTGCGCGTCGATTATGGTTTCCGCACTTTTCAGATATTTTCCAGGATCCCTTGAACCGATATTCAGATGCTTCTTACGTGTTTTTCACCCTTAAACGCGCAATTTTTCGTAGCGTTCTGAATATTTTTCAAAATAAAAAGGACTTTTTGGACCTCCCCCATCCAGAAAGAATTAAAGAAGGACTAGAGAAGAAGGCAAAGACACAGGACATGCAAAGATGCGCACTTAAAAATTATAAGAATTAAGCTTGATAGAAATGTCTTCAAGTTTCACGGAAGATATTTTCTCACTTATCTCACTTTTATACTTATTTCGAAGTTTGATTTTATTGTTTTACGTTTTCACTCTCACGTAATATGAATTTTTCCGAGACACGCGCATGAAATATGTTTCAAACCGTTGTTATCACTATACGTTTATGATATCTTGATAAAACACCGATTTTATGTAGATTTCCAATTTCTATTTTATTTTTTCAAATTCGCGGATGGCAGCGACGGAATTTCCGTCGAAGCATCTTCGGTTCTTCACGAAAAATGTTCCATCGGCAGCATTGCGAAACAAAAGAAAAAAAGAAGGACCGTGTAACGCGCGCGACACGATGCACAATGCACAATACGCAAAGCAAATCGCTTCGACGGACAGCAGACAGCTGTGTAGATTCCGTCACAGTATATACTGTGGTCTCGTGAAGGCAAATCGCGTGATTCGAAAGTGAGCGCATGATCGACGACTTTTTCTCCGCAGCGTCTAAACCGGCCAGTCCGGTCAACGTTTTTTTTTTTTTTTTTTTTAATCAAACTTCCGGATGCCTTCCCCTATCACGCGCGCCTGCCTCTCCTAATCTCGTCTTGTTACTTACCGAGATCTTATTTGCCTTTAGCGATGACGGAGCGCGTCGATTTGGAGATCTCTCGGTTCAGCTTTATAAACCTAACGTTTTACCTGTCAGAGATACTTTATATCTAGATCTAGATAAGACGCACGCTTTTTTAAAGATTTTTTCGTTTTCTTTCTCCTCGATCCAACTAAATTCCGAAAAGAGATGCGATCAAGTCCCTCCTTCTTTCGTTATGTTTTTCTTTTCTGATATATTTTATCACGCTATTCCCGATATCCGAGAATAGCTTGTTTGCGAATTTGCAAATTGCGTAACGAATGTATGACAGTAATCGCAACGGATCGATCGAATAGAAAAATATGTCTCGCAGAAGTGTACGAGCAATTAATTCTTTATTAATATAGACTATAGTTGTCATTCCCCAAGTAGCGAAATGACGTCAAATGGCGTCTTAATAACGTCTTAATGACGTCTATGACGTCATCTTTGCTACTTGGGTCATGAAACATCTTTTGGATATTAATGTCGATTATAGTCGATTACTATAGTAAATAATTGTACGAACGAACGCCGTCATAACAAAAGAATTTTTTCATTGCAACTATATAGCTCTTTTATATAGTGAGTACATGACGAAAGTATCTATCTAAAGAGGAAAAAAAGCAAGAAGAAAAAAGAATGCACGGACTGAAATAAAAAAAAAGAGAACAGAAACGACATGACGATAAAAATCTTTATCTGAGGAAAGAAAGAGGCAGAAATAAGAAAAAGCGAACAGAAACAATAACGAAACATAGCTATCTAAAGAGGGATAGAAGCAGAAAGAAAAGAAGAACGCACAAATTAAAATTAAAAAAGGAGAACAGGAACCATGACTATAGAAGTCTCTATCCGAGGAAAGAAAGAGGCGAAAATAAAAAATAGATAATAGAAACAATAACAGAATACATCTAACTAAAGACGGAAAGAGGTAGAAAGAAAGAAAAAAGAATGGACAGATTAAAATAAAGAAAAAAGAATAGAGACAATAACGAAACATGTCTATATAAAGAGAGAAAGAGGCAGAAAGAGAAAAAGAATGGATTTTGAAATTAAATAAAAAACAGGATATAACGAAAGATATGAGATACACAATTATTGTGTCTGACGATAGCTTCGTTCAAGTCCAAAACTCGTGAACGAAGAGAGTTGAAAATTACATCGTTCCGATAACGCGACTTCTGATAAGGCGATACGACGGGCACGGGGGCGACCAGGACACACAATAAGACGAGCTACTATTCTCTCGGAGTTCAGAATAGTCGCCAACGAGGTTCAGTATAACACTATGACATGTGGATCGACGGTGTGTACGAACTGCGGCACTTGATGCATAGTCGAGAAAGACTGACAACGGAGTAATACGATGTAGCAGAATTATGCTCTCCGCCAAAGTGAAAGTACCTTCTTACTAGTAATACTTTTTAGTCCAGATCGCTTTCGGCGATGATGACTCTCTAATGCAGGAAAGTTTCGCATAATTCTTCATGCGAGAACTTTCATAAACGTAGTCAATTAGGATTAAACAAATTCCTCATTTTTATATTCAATCTTATATGCTCAACATCAATCAATATAAAGATCACTTAGGTTGATTTTGAATTTGTTAGAATGACTTTTTTTATAACAGTCAATTGTCTATAAAATTTACTTGTGGTTATTGTTAATTGTTCACAGAGTCCTATATGAATATATAAAGAATTTGATGTCAATTTTTACGTTTCTTTTTTTGTGACTTTCTCTGGCGTTCAATATTATAATAGTTATAACTTAATACGTTTTTCTATATAGGTAGCCTATATCTGAAAAAGGCGCACTTCGTATTACATTTAAATATCGAAGATGATGTATCACATATCAGGTGTACGATTTAAAAGAAAAAAGCCACAAAGAATCTTCAAAAAAGCAGGCGAGTATGTAACATCGACTTCTCTTATCACTGACCCACGCGTTGTCGCGCAATTAATTTTAGTGTTCAGTTTGACAGTTTCTTAATCTGTTATTTGTATCATGATATCATGAACCAGTGGCAACGTGATACTTAGGCGAAAGGAAGTTGATCGACCGTAAGAAAATTCCAATGTAACGTTGGAGAAAGTCAACTAACGATACGCTTGCATGCACTGTGCTTTTTCGAAGCAAATATAAATTTCTGTTGACTCAATGTAAAAATGAGATCTACTCAAACGTGTTTAGCCTACGCCCGCAAAGCACGAGATTACAAGAATGCAGTCGAAGCTTTTTAATCGTACTATCTCTCTTCTCAATCCGCTGATGCTGTGAGATGCAAGATGCCTCTTCTTATCGCCACATGACCGCGTTCGAACTATATTACCTCCTGTTTTCGTTGAGCGTACCGTCGACACCTAATAGATAATGATACAAAAGAAGTTTTAAAAGGCATCTCTTCTCGCTGAGAAACGACGACGTGATGTTGAAAAATAACGACGCCTGCAGTTGTATTGCTTTTATTATTATTCCTTACGCATACCTGCATCGCACTTAATTGTTTCGCCTCCCTAGAAATGAACTATCAAATATTCAGATTTACAATCGCAGTGTTGAGCAGTTTGCTTTATAAGATCAGCTCTACAAAAACGCAAAAGATATTTGGTGTACAACCTATTATTATATAGCGGTCGTACGCCGGATTGTCCCGGCTTGTTCTCTCCCTCGCGTGCCGCTCGTTACAATCGCGCGTCGCCGATACCGTGGACAGTACAATTAATTAACTTAAATGCGGCTTTTTATTTCAGATCTAACACGATTTCTTTTCTCTTGGTTTCCCTTGCAAAAAAGGTATACTTTTTTGTCGTTTTGTGTGTCAGCTTCGACTTCAGGATTGCTGTTAGCAATAATCCCCAAGGAACCTAACAACGAAATATACATATATATGTATATGTATATTTATATATAATATACATATATTATATAATTATATTATATAATATACATATAAGTAATATAAACAATAAAATGTGATTCTCATATTGATATCTATCGTGATCGTCCGCTACGTTAATGCTTGCAATTCTGTCTCGCTTTCCTTTCTCTTGCGAATAAAACATCATTACCGCCGCTTCTACCACAAGAGATCTATCGTTAGCATATTTTCCACTTGTTATTCGGCACAGACCTTTTGTAAAGTGATCAATCCCTTTTCCCCTTGTTCACCTAAAAAGGATAGCGCTAAAGAAAAAAAATGCAGTCAGGAACATACGCGGTTATAATGTAACGATACTGCGAACACCAACTTTTAGGCATACAAAGATACTATTTCAGCTGTGTTCGTGGGAGATATCTCTTCTGTGATTAGATCTTCGATGATGCTCTTTATAGCTCGATTTGAAATTTATTATGACAGACACGCATTATGATACGCACGCACACACACACTTTCACTCTTTCTCTCTCTCTCTCTCTCTCTCTCTCGCATTTACCTTGATAACTCATTTAACAAGCATGCCGATAAATTATTCCGAATAGATTGTAGTAAATAATAAACGTAAATATAGGTACGTAATTTGGAATAGCTTTAGATATACGATATTGAGATTACGATTATACGCCACCGAACGATCGAACAGCCTGTACAGCCACATTTAGTTTTGTTTTTACAAAATACTTTGCGCGTGTGCCACGCTCTCGCTTAACTTATGCACCCAGTCTTCTTCAAGAACCATTACGTATTGTGTAGGTTTCTCTCGGTTGAATTATTAATCGATCAGATAGCGCAAAGCTTTCGTCATCGCTTTCGACGAATTGCCGCGCAAATCCGTCGAAACCTTAGCATATAATTCACGTTTATATATATGTATCGGTATACTATTCGGTATACTACCGTACTGCAAACTTTGCTCTCGTATGCCCTCGAAACGATTCTCTTGGAGTCTGTAATTCGATAATTTTAAATATTCAAAATAGTTCAATTAACGTCTAAGCTTACGAACTTGACGAATCTCATTAAAACCTTAAGACGACCACAGTAAACAGTTCCTCAACTTAAAAAGAAATTTATTAAATAATCCACGTAGAAAGCTCAGCATCCTCCTTGACATTTACAATTATGCTATTTCAAATGTTCGAGAGCCGGCGTGGTGTTTAAATACATGCTGTTGGCTAAGTTGAGTTGATCACAGTAAAGTGTGGAAAACGATAAATAAGGATCCGCAAACGACAGATCTTGCACAAGACGCAGGTTACCTTGCTGAGAGTGACTCACCTACTTTTGCCGTGTTACAAATTAGAAATATAAAATAGAGAAATAAATCATTAATTTATAATCAAATAGATGGCTATAATTTCTTAATTGAATCGTTATTCCTACATCATTCCTTAAAAGTGGGCCGACAGTTTTGCTCATTCTACTCTAAAATTAAAAAAAGGGGGGAAAAAAGCCGCGAATATCTTATTACAAGTGTTTGCATCTTGTCGAGAATTTTTTTTCGTCTAATTTAAGTCACTCGTTTCGCCGATCTCTTATTTTATACTTTTATACTTGTAAAATTTCACAGTTTTAACATAAAACATATAATAGAAAATAACACAAAAATTACACTCAAACGCAAAGAAAATTATTCCAGGATGTTTGAAAGGCAATTTAGAGAAATTGTATTATGCACTTTCTTCTCCATTTTTTTTATGACGTGACGTAAAATAAAAGAGCATCATAATTCTATATGCTTTGTTTATAAACACAAAAAAATTTGAAAGAACCTTGTGATGTGCATTTCGAATTCAATTAAATAAACTTGTTAAATATTAAAATTTGAATAAAACCTTTAAAATCTTTAATGCAAATTAAAAATTATGCACTGTTCCTGTTTTTAATGGCAAAAATCTACATTTCAAACATCTTGCAGATACGGCATAAGACAAACGATTTCTTTCTCGATGCCGATGAGCGTTAAATATAACATCATGTAGAATATAATACGGCACCTCTTAGGACATAACGATTACATACAACTTCTATATGATAGGGTAAGAGAACCGGAATTTTTTAAGTCTCAGTTTCCTAATAAAATTAAAAAAAAAGAAAGAAATAGTTTATTAGAGATAATTATCAGACAATAATATTAGATACAATATACGTGCATTTCGTAATCAAATCGTTTTCGAAGTCTAGGCGAAAATCCATACTGAGTGACGCCAAAATAAGCTATCGAGCCATTACGTAAAATCTTTACAAATTCGAATTGAGGAACTATATCATCGCTCTTCATGATGCATAAAATAGCACTGCACATTTCACGATAGTTTTTTTACTCCATCGTATACCAAGCATTGATTTACCTTCCAATGTCGCTCTTGCAGTATTAAAATCGCGTACGTAATCTGGCTGAAGAAACGAATACATTGAACGCATTTTTCCAACCTTCAATATGTCAGACGACGCTCTCTTACTATACAGAATCGTATAAATTATTATGAGTGGCTGCCTAATTTAATTTCTTTCTTCGTGTGGTGGAAATTTAATTGTAAATCTTAATGGCCTTTTCGAGGTAGTTGATACGAGAGCGCTTTGGCGCTTTGTTGACGTGTTCCAGGCCAAGCCAAGGCCTGTGTGGTGATGTGCCTGCGTTTAAAAGTGGATAAACTAGAAAATTTATTCTTCACTAGCATTGGGTCGGCAGTACACTATATATCGAATATAGTAGTCATGCGATTCTACGCTCGCTTTACGTTATACATTCGAAAAGGAAAGATAAATGGGTGTTTTTTTTTCTACTTACTCTGACTGGTATATCTGGGAAGGAAATCCTCAATTTTGATACAAGATTCCGGCGAGTCGATAATGAACTGTGGCTTCCCCATTGTCACCACCGCGAACTTAAACTTCAAAGTTTTTTTATGAATTCTCATAAAAGATCAAAAAAGATTAACTAAGGATGCCTACCTTTTCAAATTCTTTCTCCTGGACCCCTAATTTCTTTAACAACCTGTCCTTCATTTTGGGAAAAGGTTCGCCCTACAAACACGACAATTATTGATATCTCGTGTGTTACATTACGCGTGGATTTAAATTCGAAACATCACTCACGTGCTTGATCTTGAAGAAGAAGGGTATACCAAACGTTGAGAAAACCTCTTTGTGAAAATGCGCAACAGGAACTAGCATTTCGCCCTCTGCTAGATTTACTTCGTCAACCGGTATTTCTTCTATCCTATACAACTTGGTGCCTGATGTGTTTAAGTGATCTAATGGTGTATCGTCCACGGGGCCGGGTGACAGCTTGTTGCAAGTCATTTCTAATATCCTCAGTTTCCCCGATCCGTTTTCCGATAATTCTACCTGCTTCTTAGCCTCCTCGAGTAAATTAGCAACAGTGCCGTTTTTATTTGGGTAAAGAATCATCTCCTTCTCCTCCTTAAGCGACGGCCCTACCCATATGCACTTGAACTGTTTCTTGTTTTCTAGCTCGTTCACCCTAATACTGAGCTGCTGATAAAATAATTTCTTTACTTTCGTTTTGCAGTACGCAACCAATTCTTTGAGCGTGCCGTCAAATGTACACTTTAAAGGATGGCCGGGAGAATCTTTGTAACTGCAAACAGAATCTCGGAATATAACCCTTTCTCTCAAAGCACTTTAAAATAACTTTTAATGTAACATTATTAGTACAAAGAAGCAGGAATATCAATTCTTACTTTTGACACTTAAAGAATTGTAAAAGATACGGATCTGTGCCGACTCGTTGCGCTACAGCCTTTGCCATTTGATCATATGTCATTCTTAACGAAAGTTCCATTGTAAAACCTGGGTCGTTCGGAATCAGTTTATCACAAAACGTTACTTCTACCCTATAGAATAGATCTCTGAAATGCAAATTGCGTTAAATTAGCAAACGTATTGCAATATTATAGATATTCAAAGATAGGATTCTCAAGATACATTAGCAAAAAGAGATGAAAGTGTTAGAGCGTTTACTTGTTACTTACTTAAAATATTCTCGACACGTTGGAAGTTCGTACATTTCATTGTCTCCTTCCTTTTGAAATACGATGATGTCACCGTCCATTAATTCCTCCAGAACTTTTTCCAAAGGCTCCGATAGGTTGTCTATTTTCTCGACTAAATTTGGTTTAATTTCCTCATATAAAGCGAGTTCTGTGTCAGGTGGAAATCCGGCACGTTCATTTAAAATTGGTATAAGCTCCTCTGTAAAATTCATTATATTTATATGTATTAGATTTTTTAAATTACACTCAATAATAATATATTCTCTCTAGTATATCAATATTTAAATACATACATATATTATTAAAATTTCAACTTACGGACTTTAGCTACAACAGGCATATAGTGATGACCGCAGTAATGAATCTTCTTATTTTTGGGATCGTAGAGTTTAAAAAAGAGTAAAACATCAGTGTCCTTGTCGAAAGGCGGTAACGCTGTCATGTCAGAGTCTGGAGGTACAAGTTCAACAAATACGTTCCACGGATTGTGATTTTCCGCGCAGTCGATGATGGGCTTTTGAAGATCAGCATCCGGCTCGATTAACGTAGGTCTACAGGTTTGATTTGAACGTGTACTGAAGGGCCAAATGCGAATCTGTTCTATAGGATATTTCTGTAGAATAAATTTGATAATATTAAACACTTTAATTATCTCCGTACCATTTTTCTAAAACATTGGAAATAAGAGCCGTTTTCAAAATTAATTTTTCAATATCATTTGCCATATTATTTCGCAAAAAAATAAAACGTTTTCTCTATTATTTCCCGTTTTTACACATCAAACAGGAAATACTAACGTCGTAATCTTTTCAAGTTTTATTACCTACCGTGATGGAAATATAGTCTAATAATATAGCCCATAATAGCACAAAAAAACGATATAATGGTATTAGATATTACATCAGTATCGATTTACTTTGTAAATAAATTCTGATGTACATGTATAAGCAGAAAATTATAATTTAAGTAATATAACGACGTTTCGGAAGAAATACCGAACGCACAATTTGTCAAACTCACTTACCAGACTATCACTCAGCAGCTCGAGAAACTCGTGCACAGTGGCCTGCTTACGTACGCGAAATACACGATATAAAGCGTGCTCTGGATCGTAGAGATCATTTCCTTGGTGACCGTCAAAGCTATCCTCGAGAAGGACATTGACGGTCATGTACAAGTATGCTTCCGTTCTCTCCTTTCTTCTTATTTGTTCCAGCCTCTTCTCCTCTTGCAGCCTCTCCACCAGCTAGACCAACAAAATTAAAATTATCCACGTGTGTACTCATTTCGTTCTCATTAATCATTTTTCCTCGACTCTTTTCAATTTATGTGATTTTGAACTCTCTTTTTCCTTTTAGAAAAAGATCATTTCTCTCATTATCATGCTTTTGAGATTCGAGAACAGATCGTATTCGAAACATCAAAAGAATGACGGTACATTTTCCATTTTTGTAATTTTAATTTTGTTCATCTGCCGCTATATCGACTACCAAGTCAAACAATTACACAATGAAAATTATTTGGCGGTGAGTGATGGTTCCCAGTTATCTCTTCCTGGCTAATAAATACAAGCACACAGTAAATATATAAGTATTAGTAATTAAAGGTAATAACTTGATAACACAAATATATATAGTGTACAAATACGACGATATGTAAATTCTATAATAATCTTACTTTAATTATATAATGTGTGTTGCCATTTCAAGAATACCCAAAAAGGTAATCGTCCGAGTACAGAAATAATAAATAAATCTTGGCGAAACAACAAAGTACCTTAACCATTGTGTACATGCATATATAAAATATACATCTATTAAAATCCTATGTAACCACCACCCATGCCAAATAATTATAACAATGTAATGTGTAACTATAGTAGTGTGGAGATGCTTTGTAACTTGGATTTATGTCTATTACTTGAATCGTATAAGATAGATAAGAATAGCGGTAAAAATAAATAAAATTAACGCGATTTCCGCCTGTGAAATTTTCTAGTATTCAACAATTTATTCGTTATCCTTTTTTTCTTTATTTTTATATATAAAATAGTGATATAGCATTTAAAGGTATTTCTCACGATTAAAGCTATTATAAAGTATTTACTCTATCGATGATATTTTAGCGTTCTTTCATCTCTTTTTCTCTCTCTCTCTCTCTCCCTCTCTCTCTCCCTAATTATTTATATGTAACAACAAATAAATAGATAGTATCTGTCAATGATCATAATTACTATTAACATGGAGAGAATTTTATGAATCAACGACTTGCTTAAGTGATTGCATTCTCTGTTGAAACACGAAGTTCTTACTTTACTCATTATTGTATCGACTTTAAATATTAGTTGATGAAAACTGCGAGGGTGAGTAATATAAATCACATTATGTCTCACTCACTAAACAATCCAGTTAAATAGCAAACACGCTAAAGAAGACATTTCAAGGAAGCTGATGTTTCTGACACAAGTACTACTTATCGATTATCTCTTCTCTTTCTCGTATGTATTGCAAGAGCTAACAGAACCTTCTTAGCTCGAATCGATACTTAGTATATTCTCACTAATAACTGTTGTTTTTCCCTAATTCTCTTACACAATTATTCACACATATCCAATCTTTTCTTGAGATATGTTTGTTCATTTTTCATTCACGATTTCGATATACTACAATACAATGATTAAATTTGTTATATAGTATTATACAATGTTTGTTACAATAAACATTCCCAAAATAATCCTAAGGCTCATCACGATATTAGTCTGACGATCAGACTTAAAGTTTATCCAATCCTGGATAAAATATTTCCGATAAAAGTGACAAAAATGCAACACGCACATTAATCATGGATCTTTCTCTTTAATTCCTTGCGTTATTGATATAAAATTATGAATAAGACAATAAATAAAAAAAATCACATGATTCTCATATATGCCTCGAGCGCCCGTACCGAAAAAATCCTCTGTCAAAAAAATGTCTTTGTCAATATATAAAACAAATCTCTATATAACATGATTATATAGTTCCATCCATGTACATACAAATATACATGTGATCAGATGTATCATCTTTTGTATCTTTCCCGATGTTAAGCGATTCACCTTTACTTCGAAGCATATTCGATTACACCAAAAAATAAAATCTGATAATGAGCGTCTAAATACTTTGTACCAAAGTATTACACAAGTATTATACTATTCTGAATCCAACATTGTACTTAGAAATGTATATGACTTATATAATGTTAACATTTACCGGTATAGCAGCTTAAAGCTGATATCAATGTAAAATCTCTGTTAAGAAAATTCAAAACAAAGTTAGTAACAACTGCTCGAAAACGAATATTTTCATTAAATAAACTTTCTAATTTGTACACACATATACAATCTCAAAAATTAAACTATCAATGTGTGGTAGCCAAAATATCGCAACGAGGACCGAAAATCGCCTCGACTTTTTTCTCATTATGTATATATAATTACAATGTGTGATGTGCGAACCTGACAATTCTATGCTATGAACAAGCTCGTAGTAGCTCAATATAACATCGAAACTTCGGGAAGAGTTTGATCGAGAAGCAACGTAAGCAATTTACAAATTCCTTACACCTATTTCTCTGTCAGCGTTTATCGGTTAAAAATCATGAATATAGAGATTTGGATTTCGAGGATTTTGAGTGCACGGACGAAGAGTCGCCGTCTCTGTATGAGAGTCTTTAATTGAGTCAGTCGCGTCTTTGTCACGTTCAAGGTCGCTCAACTCCTGGGAAAGTTCTCTTTGAAGGACGTTTCTGACCTCTTGAGGTATATCCTCTTCCTTGACCTCTTGCAAGACGTTTTCCAGCTCTGAATTTCTTATGTAAACCAACATATAAGCGTTAGTGCAATGTTTCACAGCCATAGACATGTCCTCGTCTTGACCACCGTAGTTGTGTTCGATAGCTTCCTGCTTTGTACATCGTGAGACAACATCGTCGTCGAACTTACACCACTGCCACAGAACAGATCAAAACGTTTCAGGAAGATGTTGCAACATAGTAACTTAAAGTTGAATCATAAATTTTTATTGAAATGTACAAAGAAAATACTATATGATTATTCTGCATAATTTAAATTATATTCCTTTTTGAACTCAGTCTTTCTGAACTTTACTATAAGTATGAATACATATAAAAATAAATGGAAAAATATACTGAGGACAAATCAATTTAGTTCGGTTATAATGTAAAGACAGATTTGCGATAATTTATATCCGTAGTAAAGAGATCACATATATCGAGAATGTAAAAGATTTATGAATTAATATATACTTAATTCATACAATATTAACATTAAATATTAACATCAAATCTTTTACTTACCTTGCCATCACCAGCGGGATTAATAAATACAACATAATGTCCTCCATGATTATCGCCACTATGAACCAGAACAGCATGTAATGTGTAATCCGCACTTGTTGCTTCTTTGTTTTGCAAGTATTTGCCGAGACTAATTTTTTCATAAAACTCGAACCTTTAAAAATAAATTTGCACAATTACTTATATGTTAAAAAATAAAATTATATTTTTATCTTTATAGAAATTTATACTTTTTTGCCGTAAATAAAACAATTATATTATGATTATCGTGAAATAAGCAAATTAATAGATTTCAGTTCTTTACCTGTCATTAAATTTGACTGAACAGTCTGTAACTGGGTCATACTGAAAACGCATTAGATGTAGATGTAAAACGGGTGGAAAGGACGAAAAGATGACGCCTTTTTCCGCTTCTTGTAATCCATGCTCTCCCGCATCGTATTTATTATCGCCATCGAGACTTTCCGTACTCACATAATCGCTAAAAGACTCGTAAACTGAAATACAAAAAAATCTATTAGTTCCCTCCTACTCAAATGTCATAGATAAAAACATGACGATGATCAATCTTGATACTTACTGTTCTTCTTGCCTTTTATATTTAACTGTATGTCGTAAAATGTTTCAACTCTTGTGGATTTGTAGTCTATATTTTTACACTTGATAAAAGAGACCATTTTTCCCTCAAACAATTTTGGCACTGTACCTTCCACGCATGTTCCCTTCATTTTGCTCTCCAGCTTATCTAATAGCTAAATTTTCACAAAATTAGTTTATATATACGCATACATATATTAAAAATGCAATAGATAATGCATAACATAATATACACAAGTTTATTAACAAAGTGCATAATATATTTACCACTCGTAGAAATTCCTGCACATCATGCTGCATGAAAGAATCCAGCGTTTCCCAACCAAAACTTTTAGTTAATTTCTTTGTACCGACAGGCTTGTCGGAAAACTGTAACTCATGAAAAACCCTTTGCAAGGCTAGTGCAACACTCTTACTCGAATCATCACTCTCTGTTGGCATTTTATATACTGCCTTTCGTAACTAAAAAAAACGAACAAGGATAAAGTAATAAAGAGTCACATAATTTATCAAAAATGTCTCCCTTCACCAACCTGATTTGTAAAGTAAAGAGTTTGCAGTAAAGAATTCATGTAACATGTAGCACCCTGATTTTTCAAGCCTACATATCCCGTGTGTTTTTTACTGTCCCAACTGACTCCGTGAGGTGCATCAGCTACTACATGAACCTAAATTGGAACAAAAATTACAAGAATTTAATATAAATATGCAATATGAATATCCTATGGAATTAACTGTGCTTTTTAACACACTGACTACTACATAGTTATTCATGTCGCGTCACTCAATTTCAAGAAAAACTCCCACAAAGCAAAACACGTTTTCTTATAAATAAAAAATTGTATAAGAATATTTTAACTTAAAATAATGCTTTAAAGAGAGAGCAATTATTGTTCGTATATATGGCAGTCGATGTGTCAATTAAGTCGAAATTCAGTTTAAGAAAGCGCCTACATCTTGTTAAATCAAAAAACATTTTGTTAGATATTTGTAAATATATTTAAAAATTATATAAACTGCGTAAACGTGTAATCATAATTACAAAATTTCAAAAAAGTGAAATTACATTGATTTAACAATAACTAGAATAATAAACTGATAGAACTAAATAGAATGAGAAATATTTACAAAAAATCACAGTGCTATTAAAAATGTTAGTTACTTAATAAAGGTATGTATTACAAACCTCAAGCGTGATTGAATCATCTTTTATGAAACCTCTATCAGGATCTAAAACATCCTGCCATGTCATAAAATGACTAAAACCCCAGTCATTCTCTTTACTGTAGAAGAGGTGTTGAATTTCTATAAAAATATGATACATTATTGAAAAATGGATCTGTATTACTCTGAAATTAAAATTAAAGACCGGTCAATGTGTAACAAATTAAAGAAGAACGGAATGACATTTACTTCTGCTAAATGGTTCTTGTCCTTCTTTGCAAGAAAGAAGACGCAGCTCAGCAACAGCGTAACAACTCCAAGATGTAGATTCACTCTCCCCGTTACACTGAAGGAAAAATCCAAGAGATCGCTGTGGCTGTCTCTCCTGTGTCTGACTTGATCGTGGCATCACCATTATTTTCCATGGTAAATTGCGAACGTAACACGCAGGGGACAACTGCGAGTCCTTCATCTTAGATATATTCTCAACAGTATATCGAAAAGTAGCCTCCGATCTGGCCTCATCTAATATAGACGAAAGAGGGAATGTAGAATGTATAGATGTGATAAAGATAAAAAATAATAAATACATAAAAATAACTCAAATAGGCAAAAATAAAATTAAGGCTATTTGAAAAGCACAAATTTCTTAAATTTTTCTATAATAACAAGAAGAAAGAAAATATAGGTTATAGATATATCAGTTATATATAAAAATAAAAAAAATATTTGTATTGTAAGATCTTTAAATTATAAAGCAACTTAAACAAAGAACATGGCATATAACAGGGGATCATCATACCTTCCTCCATTTCTTGATCCTGAACTATACATGCTAATTCTGGTTCACCATTTATAGGACGGTTGTCAGTTCCGTCTCCCCCACCATCATTTGGGGTTTCTACAAAAGTTAATGTTTATTTTTTAATAGTCAAATGTATAAAGCTAACAAACATTTAAAAATAGAAAAAAACTTGCATACAAAATAATGAAAATAAGAAGTTATAGTTCGCAATCTGGATTCAATGAACGATAAATGCCTATGCAGTTTTATTAAATAATTTGCAACATAAATATGCCACTTTTATATCTATCGAGTTACACATAAAAAATACAAGTATCACATTTTTGTACAAATAACTGCAATATAATTTAATATTGATGTGGAACAATTGGTTTACCTAAAGTGACAGGGCAATTCTGAAAGATCTTTTGTATAAGAACATGAAAATAACAATTTATGGAATGACACCTCATGTGGAATGTTTCAGTGGCAAATAATAATTACAATATGATTGGGGGGAGGGGGGAGGAATACAAAGAGAAGACAAACGAATTGATCACCAGATGAAGATTATGAAGTTATAGGTTAATATTTGCACTTCGCAGCCGCACTAAGTACATATTTGTCTCACTCTAAATTCAAATATTATATAAAAATGCAAAAATTCGCCCAGGTTATCGCCAATTACTACATATACCGCGGAAAAGACTAATCAAATAGCGACTATTCGCTCGACAGCTGTACGTAGTACAATAATCTTTATCAACGGTGATTACATTTATATATCCACGAAAATTTCTGATAATGAAACTGTGACGTAATGTCTCGTTCTATATTATCTATCTACAATCAGATATGTTCGATTTGCCGGTACATGTAGTTTCTAAGATTCGCTTTTGTGGTATTTCGCATTCTTACGCAAAAGAACGCCACTTTTCAAATAGAATGAAATACGAGGGAAATTCGACAAGTTTCGAGTGTGCGGAACAAAATAATAAATGTAACATATAGCACGATTTGCACAATAACATATTTAATGCGGACGACAGTTTGTCCATAGAGAATAATTTATAAAAGTCGCGCGACCTTTATTGCGATCGTAAAAAAAAGTGTTTATAATTTAGTGCTTATTCATTTTCTCGACTTGTGTATGTAAACATATATATTTTTTGCAATTAACTTTCTAATATTCGACGTCGGTAACGCGATTCTCGTTTTTGCGTATATAAATTCAAGTGGAACAAAAGTCGGACGAATCGCTGGTCGCGCGGATCAACATCCGTGGAAATCAAATCGCGAGTGCCTGGATATCGGTCGCTGACAGGGGCAACGGTAACGCGCGAAATGAATTTGCACTAGATCGTTTCCGTACAATAATCTTACGGATGCGCGCAAGAAGTTTTGTCCTTCTCCAAAAATAAAAACGACTCCGCGAACATACGGTTACCGTCGGCCGGGAAAAAGGAAAGAAAATTCGAAGAAAGTTGGCGAGAAGCGCCGCGACAAAGAGCTCCTCTCACTCCTCCCTCTCCCCCCTTTGAAAGCACTCGCACTTACGTTCGCAGCGAGGCAAGATGCGAGAGAGATATATATATATATATATACAATATGTTATATACATAGCTATGTGTATATATAGCTAAATTTATATATATAGCTAAATAGCTAGAAAAGTAGGATACGAATAAAGAAACAGACAAATAGACGCACAGAGAGATTTCAGAGATAGATCGTGCAATAGATAGCGCACTCACCCTCCTGCGTGTCCATCTCCTCGACCTCGTTAACCTGAACAGGCGCGAGGCTGAGCTGCTTGAGGTTCTCCTGGTCGTTTACGTGGTTCATCGCGAAGCCGATGTTGATGGTCGTCTTGATGGCGCCGGGTACCTCGGTGACGGCCTCCGCCGTCGAGGTTACGTTGTCCGCGTTGATCAGCGCCTGCTGCTGCTGCTGCTGCTCCTGCTGCTGATCGTTGCCCGCTGCTGGCTGCGCGGTCGCAAACGGCACGCGATTCCGGCTAGGAGGTGATGTCGTCGTCGTTTTACCCAACTTCTTGACCTGCACCAATCTGCGACCGTTTCGATCCTGTTGCGAAAGTTGTCGCTGCGGCGCGTGCTGCAACTGCTCCTGCTGCTGTTGCTGCTGTTCCGTTTCCACGATCACCCGGCTACTATCGAAGCCCACGTCGCCACCGGGACTCGACAACGACGTCGCTTTACCGCACTCCGTCGATAGATGTTTGCTCGCAGTTCGCCCAATTTCTGCGGCCATCAAGTGCCCCCACTCGCACGGGGGACGCCCACAGCATATATTCCACCCTCGTGTTATTAAATCGCTGGATACGCGACTCCGCGAGCACACCGTGTTCCTACACGGTTTACACGATTACTCCCCTTGACGCGCGCCTCCCCGTAGTGTCCCGCAAAGCCGTAAAGGTTCCCGTAGCCACGGCTACGATCACGGCTATCTTCGCGACGGTGGCGGACTGGCGGTAGCGAGAGAGACCACGACGGCGACCTCGTCCGTGACGATGTCCGCGGTGGTGGTTGTGTGGTGCTGCTGCGTGCTGCGTGCTGCTGCTGCTGCCCACCGCTGGTGGTGTTGGTGACGTCGGTGATGGTGTTAGTGGTGGCGGCGGCAGCGACGGTCGTCTCGCCTCTCGTTCCGGCGCGGCGCCTCGCGCACCGACCTCCACCTCCGCCTCCGCCTCCCCCCTTCCTCCTCCCGCGCACGGCCGATCCGTGAAAAACTGTTTCCGCTGCGCGCTTTTACCGGCGCTCAGCGACGAGTCGACGACGCGATCACTGACGACTACGTTGACGACGATGCGCGAGGCCGCGAGAACGACGATCGCGTACGACGTTGACAACGTTGCTCCCGTTACTCACTTCGCGTTCTTTCTCACTCTTTCTCGCTCACTCTCTTTCGCTCTTTCTCCCTCTCTCTCTCGCTCTTCCTCTCTCTCTACGTAGCTGCTCGTCGCCGCCACGGATCTCGATCGGGTTCACTGCTGATTCTCGATCGACTCAACCGCGACTTCCGGCTGCGTCTGCGAGCGAACCCACCTGTGTCGACTGTCGTCCACGCAGCGGATTCTCCTACCCTTCCTCCTTATCTTTATCTCTCTCTTTCTCTCTTTCTCTCTCTCTCCAGCGTCCGTGAAGCCGGACGTTACTCGAACAACACGTACGAATGCGCGCGGGCCGATCCCGTACGTCGCGATCGGTCGCTCACGGATCTCTCTCCGTCACGCGAAAATAAACAAAATGGCGGGCGAGTGCGGCGGCTCGGCTGCGCGGTCGCGCACGTACCAGCGCGACTCCACGCGCATACACGTACGTGCTACGTACCACACGCGCATGTGCGCGCTCGTGCGCGAGCGACGTTCTCCGCGAACAAGCCGAATTCGCGTAGACGGTCCACTCGATGCAACGCGGTGGATCGAGCCAAAATGGCCAAAATAATGGGCGCGTTCAGCAGACCAAGCCGCTCAGTAGCAGTCGAACGTGATTGGTTCTTACTTTTAGAACCAACCACTCAACGCAGAGTGTTTATAAGACGAACTCAACAGTTGTGTCTGCTGCTGAACGCGGCCAATTTCGCGCGCTCGAGATAACTTTCAAATTTTCGCCATTTCGTTTCGCGGTTAAACTCTAGTAATTGTAAATAAATTAAAATTTAACTAAAAATTAATTAGGACGCAAATTTAATATAAAATCAATTTTATACATGGTGAAATATTAAAAATTTATTTATATATTTAAATTATATTTTTATAATGAATTAGGATGATACTCTATAAGGGTTACTTTCTCCGACCGAACTCTGACTAATTTTTTTCTCTAATCTAGACTTTCTTCTCATATGTTAGACAATTAAGAAATTGATAATTCTACCCATATTAATGAAATATCGCAAGTATTACTTCAACAGTATTACTACAAATTAATCGGTCGCCCCGAAAATCTACGAAAATTTGTTTCAATTTAGATCGATAACAATTAAATAATAAATCTCGATCGTAAGATTCATTTTCATTGAGAAGGCAAGATACACACGTTGATTGAATTGCATGTATATACGCCTTCATTAATTAAAAGAAAGAGTTTCGACGTGTGGCGCAAACAAGATTATTTCCATGATTTCTTGCTTCAATATGGCAGCAATAAGAAAGCTACATAAGAAACGGAAATTCTTGGGCGATCTCAATGAGAATGTTCTCCCTCGACACAGCCGAGATGCATCCGGCAGGAGAGAAAAACGTTAATGTTTACTCATAAATGCATACATGGATAATCGCCGATTTATTCTCTTCGTGCACGGGGGAGGAAAGGGGAGGGGAAGGTGTTCGCGAATCGTAGATAAGAATAAGATAAAAAGCTCGCGTAGATTAGCGTAGATGAGCCCCAAGGCCCGAGATCCCGACCGCATCGTTAGCATGTATCGCAGAGATCACGTTATTGTTTCTTCTTCTCTCTTCTCGATTGAGCTGCGTCCGGGTGGTCCGCGCCGTCGACGAGGCGGAGCGCACTAGGTGCACCCATTCGTTCGCGGCCGGGCGGGAAAATTCAAAATGCTCGGAGTCGACCGGGGAGACGGATCCGGACAGGGGAGGAAATTGCCGATTACCTCGACGTCGGTGGGTTTGAACTGTTTATTTAAACGTACAAGCACATGCTGAACAATAGTCAGAGACAGTCAGAGTACATTCAAATAGAATTCCTGTCGTTCGCTAATCCTTGGCCGATCGTCACGAGAATTCGATTCTCGTCCGAATAGGCGTTCGTATCTTTTTTTTTTTTAATACGGTACACGGCGAAAGGAAACTCGTGTACCTTGCGCTTGTTGCGACTCTTGCGTCGTGTCAGCTGTGCGTTTTCGATCAGCAATAATTTCAATTGGATGCACGCTGTTTTCAGATAACAGGACATCGCTATGTACAGAATCCGACGACGGCATCCGACGATCTTTTCAGGCTTGTAAAGGAGTGGTAAAGTCTAAAGTAACACACGCGAAACATGAAGGAGTAAAAGGAATGATCTTTCAAGGGAACGTGGATTTGTAGAGTTGGATTTAAGTGGAATGGTAATTTTGGAAACCTGTATAATAATAAGAAGAACATAAGAAAAATATAAGAAGAATAATATAAGAAAAATAATCTTTCAATATTTATTTATTTATTCATTAGATAAGTTCTAGAAATAACATCCTGTAAATAAGAACATCCACATCTAACAAATCCTCTGGCAATCTTTCATAACAATTTTTCGTTAATCCATTCAATAAATTTCGATTTGATCTATTTCTCGAATTTGTTGGCATGAATAAAGGTTTACCTGAAGAAAAAAGCGTTCAAAGATCAAAATATTTTTCAACTGAGAAATAATGTGTGCGACAGCGAATTCGAGAATTAAATCTAAAATATCTAGATCAAAGTTTACTGAATAAAGTAAATGAAAAATTTAAATAAAAGATTGCAAGTAGTTGGATATACAGGTGTTCATTTACTTAATTTTAAGATTTTAATTCTTACAAATAAAAAGCAATATTGAAAGATTATTTGTTGAGTTGTTGCTTTAGATTTTTCCATTTCTTTACAACAAAGGCGAAAAGATCGTCAGATCCAACTACTGGATCTTGTACGTTTGAAAATGTATCACAGTACAAGAGTTTCAAGATAGCTGTAAAAGGGGCAGGTAGCATTATTCAGATTATACACTACAAGAATAAAATATCCAAAAAGAGGAATCTTGCTGTGCAATGCATAAAACTATTTTTACTTAACAAACGCTCAATGAAGTAAATTCATAAGTTTTAGATACAACAGGCAATGAATAATCTATGTTGTGCGCGATTACATATAAGAGTTTTGCAATATTCCTTCGCCGCTTCTGATTGACGTACTTTAGGTAAAATAATCAACATGTTACAAGCCAAGTCATATTTATTAAAATATGTTCGCTTTCCAGGAATTTTTATTCAAATGACTGCAACATAGATTACTTATTGTACCGCATTTTCCCTTATTCTCTTCTAATCGAAGCGGAGATTTGAATGAAATATAATCTCAAGATAATTGTACGCGCACAGAGATCGGGAGTACATAATTACATATATAACGATTTAAGTAAGGCATGATTAAGGCAACCTGCTCGGCAGACTTAAAGATCTTGACCCCGACAGTTTTCTTAGTCTCGCTTCATTGTAGAAGGCTCAGAAACAGTAAAGGATGCTTTTTTTAGGCACCTTGTTTGGCAACCTGTCTACGCAATTGCAAAGAAGAAGTTATCACAAGTCACTAAAGTATGCACCTGATGCATGACACGAAATGCCTCCATCAAGACACATAGAAGTACTTTTTTCCAATTAGAAATTAATCCTTTGATTATCCTTTGTTCGGAGCGCGCATACTCCACAATTATATTGCGATTTTGAATGTTTTGCTCGTAATCGAGTAATATAATAGAATACATCTTGCGTTTTAATAATACAGATGATAAGTCATTGAATCACATCTTCCTTAACGTACTTACAGTTCAACATCACTTATCGCCTAACATGTAGCACATCGTATATCTGTCTTTTTTTCCCAATACTTTATGTTTTAATTAGGTTTATTTAATTAAGCACTTTCTTCTCTATTAAACATTTATACATGTTTTTATAATATCTTTAATGGAACTTTTTAAGCGTATTAAACACCACTTCAAGTATTTTGTTGTGGAGCTTAATTCTTATATATAGTTTGTTCATATTGTTCATCTCAACATATAAATATAATTACATTATTTTGTTAATAATTTGCATATTGCTTTTTTGTCAAGCAGTAGTCTCTTTGCTACTGATTTTTTTCCAATTAGTATATTAAGAAGAAGAGAGGAATATACAGCATTCCCTAGATACATGACATATTGTGTCTATTTTATGTATTAAATATAAAATTCTTGAAAATAGTGTGGAGTATAAGATGATCAAAAAGTAACAGCGATATAAATTCATCATAAAGACATAACAAATTCGTAATAATCATAATCGAATTGAAAAATATGCATTTGTACTTAAGAAATCATTTCAATACTCATAATTAAGTAAATAATGTAAACAGAAGTCTCATAGTTAATTATTTAAAAATTATATAACGCGACTACAATTTATATTTATGCTGCTAATTATTTTTGGTATAGCAAACGTTAAATCTAATACTGGTATAGACACCTTATTTGTGCACATATTATTATTGTGTAACAATATTGTATTTGGGGTTTTATAATTAGCCATGATTTACCGTTATTATCAATAACCCACAACTTACTACAACAAAGTAGAAGTAGGGCATCTCCTATTATCAAGGAGCATTATCCTTTAACGCTATAGATTATTACCAAGGAGTATTATCTTTTAACACTATAGACTATTTAAAACCGATAACACAACACTATTTGAAACGACAATGCTATTTAGCAACTAGGTGTTAATGTAGTTGTTATATATATAACGCTTAAGGAAAGATATTCTACCGTTTTAAATCCTTTTTTTAAGACTTGACACAATGGGTGGTCCCAATAAAGAAGAATATAAACAATTTAAACAATTAATAAACGAAAGTATTATCTAAATCTTGCGACTATTAATCCTCTAATATTGTATTGGCCCGATAGTTTGGTCTACAATTTGTATTACATCTAAGATAAACATAAAAGTCTGAATATTCATCTTATAAGAAATTTGACCTGTAATCGAGTGTTATTAGTAGCAGCAAATTATATAAAAATGTCCTGACGTTTATAAAATTATTTTAGAATACTGTGTAAACTTTTGCGATTTTTTTAAATATTTAAAAGATATTTGTCGTTATGTTTTGATAAAACTGCAATATATATTACTGTAAAAAATTTATCTAACAAAACTCGCAGCGTTACAAAAAGAAAATAATTTTTTTTCGTAATCTTTTGACAACGTCGGCCACATAAAGCCAAATAACATTTTACTTCTCTAATACTGTGGCACAATACGAATGTCGGGGACATACCGACGGTACATTTATAAAATCTTTATTCTCATCTAAGTCTTCTCTCACTAAAAGAGCAATTTATTTCACTGGCTTGACTAGACTTTTACGGTGTTCACTGATAATTGTAATCTATTATACAAATCTTACTAGAAAAGTGTTTCCCGTCACCGCTATAAAAAATGGACAGACTTAGCGAGTACATAAATCGTACAAAAGAAACGTAGTATCTATTATAAGAACGATACAAAGCGATCATTCTTTCGTACGCCTGACATACTCTCGCACTAAAAAAACCAAATCTCTATCTATAAATTCATTACCCATTTTGCGCAATAGCCTCGAATGTCTTTACTGAATCGAACAAACTTTTGAAGTTCCCAGAGAATCATCCATTGCCGCCGCACGCCTTCTGATACCTTCCAAATACACTTCGCGATTGAAAAGTCCAGCACCAAGCGGAATTCTAAAAATAAATAGCAGTGCATATATAGATTGCATGTTATCTGGTGCATGTATAGAATTTAAGCTATACGACCATCATCACTTCAAACGTCAATAAATGATAGACACGTACGTATCGATACCCGGCCTCAGCGTGGCTTTAAAAACTCCCCAGACCGGCTTGTGATCCGAGGTGCAAATACTTGGAACAGAATCGTATACCAAGCACTCTATAACCCCGTCCTTGTGCGAATTAGAATTCTCGTAGCTGACGCGTCTGATATATCCCCTGGTGTGACCTTTTCCCTTGAAGAGAATCCTGTCGGTGTACGCGGGTGTGCGTTGCTTGCTGCTAGAATCAAAATTCTGCGTTCCCGGATCGTACTTGTAGGTAGGAGGAAATATAATCGGGGCCTCTTCGAAACCGCGCAACACCGCGCCTTCGTTTAGGATATTTTTCAATTGATCCTTGTGCATGTTTATCGGTGATTCTTGCGGAAAACACGTGTTCGTGATCCATTGAATCACTTCCTCTCTCGGTTGCGCTAGACGGAAATTCAAATCACCGCACCAAAACACGCAATCGAAATTTTGCGTTACATCTGTGAAAATTGTGATTATATATATTTATTTATTATATACGCAATATACAAAATGCAAGACTATCGAAGTTATAACGCTTGACATTAATACCTTTGCTTTTATGCCTGGTGGGTAACTCTTTCGGTAGGTCTAGATTTCTAACGATTCTCTTTATATCGTTGACTCGTTCTTTTACCTTGTCTTGATGCGCGGTCAAATGAGCGGTGACAAAGAGAAAGCTGGTGCCGAATATCATGAGAGCTATAGCCACCGCGCCCTTTGTTCTGAATGCCGTTCCGGGTCTCGTCGAGAAGCTATCCTCCTCCGGAATGGAACAGAACCAAATCAAGTCTCGTCTTATAAATAATGCGAGGTGAAGTGTACCGAGGTTACTGCTAGTTAACAGCACGTGCGAAGGACCGAGGGTCTCTTGCAGAGCGGCTTCCCACTCGTTTCGTTCGGAACACGACTCTTGAGTTCCTATAGCTAACAAATCAGGAACGGTCTCTATGTCGCAGGGCAACATAAAATCGTTCAATTCCTTCGGCGGGTTTTGGCCATTCATGTTCCACGTGCCAATAAAAATTTTCAATTCCCGATTAGGCAATACTTTCTCAAGCTCCACTGACCCGAGTAAGGAATTGGCGGCGATTCTTCCGTGAAGAAAATTCCTACAAAATTCAATTGTTAGTCATCGGATAATAATCATGGCAGATACATTTTCTTAAGAAAAAAATGTACCTTTCCCGTGCCTTTTGAGTAGGAATTAAATTAAGTACTTGTGCGGCAAGTAACGATTGTTTTGCTAAGCTATCCATAGATGCCCCTGTCATTTGACAAAAGTAACGGTCTTTCTTTTTAGACAGAGCATCGTGGGACGTTGAACGTGGCTTATGCTGGATCGGTGCACTTTTAATAGAGTCTGGACTAGAATGTCTCATAGAGTTTGTAGGTGAGTTCATGATCAGATTATCCGCGGATCTCCTATGAAGCAATCTACGACGTAATTGTCCCGATATGCTCGGCGATAGCGATCCGGAGGAAAAATTTTCACCTGAAACAGTTTAGAATTGTACATTACGCATGAGTTTCTATTAATAGAACTCGTGCATCGTAATTGCGCTAAGAAAAAAAAAAGAATCATCCATTATTTCGAAAGCAAAGAACATACAACGACGGAGCAAATATACTTCGTGCCTAAAAATCAGTTTCATAACGAGATTACGGCATTCCGTAATGAAACCAAATTGCTTCAATTGCCACCTATTGCAGTCTTGGCACGTGCAAGTTCGTAACACGATGAAATTATGAGATTTGTTGACATTTAGCTTAGCATAGGTATGAATACCTTGAACTCGTCTTTTATGATTGAACATATGTGTATGTACATTGCCATATAAAACCATTTGATTCTTTGATAAATATATATAGAATTAAAACAGCCAATACTGTGTGAAATTGAATCAAGCAATTAGTCAAATCAACTTTAAGTAGTACTATGATCGTGCTTCTAACTCCAACATAGGTAATAGCCTATGTTTAACTTAAACATAGGTATATAAATTCTATGTACGTAAAAGTCACCTTATTAGATATATATACACATATTTCCTAGTATTCTAAATAGGAAAAATAGAGATATATAAAACACAAACAATTATAGCTGCGCACAAACAACATCACAGCATTAAATGTATGCCTATTACTTAACATTTATGTTTCTAATCTAATCTAGATGTAAAATAACTATATACACATTTCTTAAATAGAAACTAATATATGCATACGGAACACACATATATTTGCCAATTTAAAGATTCTTTTATAATGCTGACACTTCAAAGAGAAAAATTCAATACCCCGTAAGAACAAAATGGAAAATACTAGCAAAAAAAAAAAAAAAAACAAAGAATTATAAATTTTAAGCAGCGTATAAATTTCGTATATCGTTTTGTACCTTCTTTATCTGGCTTTTCGCAAGCAGTATCATGATACTGAACCATACTGTAAACATCTGTAGGATTGTAGAATTGCCGTTCCATTTCCAGGAAGAAATAAGTGATAAATTTTCCCTTTGTAAAGTACTCATCCTTAAAGCGTATTCGACCTTTCTCAGACTCAATCAGTTCGTTCTCATCTTCTGAAGAGTCTTCGAATGAGTCTTCCGTCGAGTCTGCAGAGAAGTCACTATCTTCACTACTCTCTTGGGAAATCGCCTTTGTTTCTTTTACTAAAAATTTGCGCGCGTCGCTCGTAACGCTAGCATTATTGAGGGATTGTAACGGCGCGCTTTTACAGTCGGGACTGTAACTTTTCGTTCCATTATCATGATGCACTTTCCCAGCATCTCCCAGATATGACCGAGAACTTACGCCTATATCGTTATCCTGTTTTAGAAAAGCAATTTTTGTACTCATATGTCTGTCCGATCCTAACTTGGTATCCCCCTGCTCATTATTTGTAACATTCTGACGCTTTTCACTTATATCATCACCTACGTTAGGAAACCTGGAACTTTCACTTCTTACAGTAACAACGTTCTTACAATTTTCTCTCATATCTGACAAATTCTTATCGTTACGCTCTTCTTTTCCAGACAAACTATTTCTCGGGGCTGTTACACGAATTTCACTGCCAATAGCTTTTGATCCAACCTTTTCGTCAGAGCTACAAGATGCACGTCCTAAACGATCGGTTTGCCCGCTATCAAGTACTTTTCCCTGCTTGCTATAAACACCTGACTCGTCTTCGTTCCTCGTAAATCCGCAACGTAACTTTTTAAGAAAACTTTTCCTCTTTTTCTTACTCAAACTTGACATTTTCAGTGAATTACTCGCACCTCTCAACGATCAAGAGAGATAAGCGCACGTGTTTCGGCAGATAAGACAACTACTAAACTCCACGTCAACAGCTCTATCAAGACACTGGAAGCGTTATATTCGACTCTATACACACGGCTTTAGAATGTAAGATGGAGGGGATATACAAGGTCATCTGGTCATCATCAAACCATATTACACAATGCGCTTAGGAAAAGAAGGAGTGTCGCTCAGTTGAAATTAGATGTGAGGTAATTGAAGTATTTTTTTTTTCTAATTCTTTTCCTTCGCATTATTAAATTAACAGCCGTTATTCCGAATGCTTATTATCTCGTTATCGCTAGGCGTTCCTAAACTAGTCTATTTGCCATAATGGGACATTCTTAATACAAATTTTACGTATACAAATTAGTAAATAGTTTAATTGTTATAATGCAGTTTGCAAAGCTTACCTTCTATATAAGTAATAGGACGCTCCCTCCCCATCGCTACGTTACTCCTTCTGACTACGGTCTCCCGAATCGCCTGAGCCTCATCGTTTTCAATAGGCGTATCTTCCCTCTCGACCAGGACGTCCGTTTGACGATCCTCATTGATGGAGGCTATCTCAGACTTGACCGAGGTACGACTCAACGTCGTCGGGGAAAGTCTGCTGACCGTCAAGCTCTGAGGTGGCGTCCTGCTACGTTCGGTCATGGCGCAGCACAGGGACAGCTTGGTGCTGGTCTGAGATCCGTGCTGCGAGTTCTCTATCTTGGAATTCTTATTCGAATCCCCGTCCCTGTACGAGGACTCCAGGCAGCCGACCTTGGTCTTCTTGTTCATGAGCATGCGACAGAGGGACTTTTTCTTCTGCTTCGACTTCGGGGAAACCTCTACCTTATTCGAAACGCTAGAGACGTCGTTTCCCTCGCTCTGCTCCATAATACTCGCGGCTGGGGCATCTAGCGCGGGGATCAAGCGAGCGTATACCCTTTTACGTTACGCCACGATCCGCTCTCGGAGACCACAAGATCAATTCTCACGTCCTCTATAGCTTATAAAAAAAATTTCTTCTACCCTATTCGCGGTACGCGTCGTAATGTATCATAGAAAAAACTCTCAAAAATATTCCTTCTATATTTCAAATCATCAGTAAGCTCTCAATAAATAGAAAAAGTATATATATATAGTTTACGCTGGTTTAACGCGCTATCTCTTTCCTCCGCAGCTGTACCGAAGTGAAGTACATTCAATATCCGAAGTGTCTCACATCTTGGCGACGTTTTAAGAATATCGCTACGTCGCGCCTCGCACTTCACCGACTGTCAAGAGTGTCAAGCCGTAGTATGTAATTTCCGCCGGGCTCAATCGCTACAAACCGTCTCCCCCGTTAAGTATTCACGGCCATAACGCTATTGTGTTGATATATCTCCCTCTCTTTGTTAAGTCGAACGTTCAGTCATGCGGGAGGATATCCATGGTGATACCCAGGTAATCGTACTTGGGGGGATATCGACGAGCGCGATACTCTCTTTGGACTATTGGACTAGAATACGACGAGCGCGTCCAACACGATTCCGCGCGGCCGCGCGGAAATCCCTTTATTAACCCTCTTCCCTTCCGCGAGAAGAACGTCGGGCGCTTGAACTCGAGCTACGTCGAGCGACGGCGTAGCTTCTCGTTCGACATCACGGTTGGCCAAACGAACCTCGGGCGTCCTCGTCGGCCGTCTCGCACGTTCCCGCGTACACGTCTCGGTCCATCTCGGTCAGGTAATCGCCGCCGATGGTCGAACCTCCGTCCTACTTGGTCCTACTGGCCACGCTCGCGGGACTCGGGGGTCGGACGACTCTCCGACACGTCATTCACGCAGGGAGAACCGTAACAAACCGTCGGGGCGCGCGACTCGATCGAACGTGTCTACGGGGCACCCGGACCTCGGCCGCCGTCCCCGCAACGGCGACGACGCGTCGGGCACGTCGCGCGTTCGCGTAGTCGCGCCGGGAATTCATTTCTCTCTCTCTCTCTCTCTCTTTATCCTCCCTCGTTTATCATCCCCTCCGGGGGAGCGAGAGAACCCTCGCGCGCACCGCAATCGCCGCCCGCACCACCGATACCGCGCAGCCGTCGCTTCCGCGCTCCGCAGCAGACGACGGCGGTCGTCCGTCGGATTAACGATCGGCGAGGGCGGCGAGGGTCCTCGGGGATCCCGACTCAGGGGAAACGAAGGCGTCGTCGTTCTCGGAATGGAACGCGCTGCGCCGCGAGGGCCCGCGAGCGATCCACCAGAGACGACGCACCCCCGGAGGCTCCGGATGAACCTTGGAATCCGCGATCAGCGAGCGAGTGCGCGACTGTCAAACCCAGCAGACGACACAGGAGCGGCCGCCATATTGATCCCGAAGCGCGAGCTATAATCCCGAGCAAGGGCCGAGGGGACGGCACGACCGCCATGTTTAAGCCCCTTGCACAATAGGCGATAGCGATAGCGATCGCTGTTGTTAAGCTCCTTGCACAATTGGCGATAGCGATAGTGATAGCGACAGCGACAAGGTTGCCGACAAAGCTATACCTTTGTCGGCAACTTTGTCGCTGTCGCCTATTGTGCAAGGAGCTTTACAGCTGTAGCACTTTGTCGGCAGCTTTGTCGCTATCGCTGTCGCCTATTGTGCAAGGGGCTTTACTCCAACCGCGGCCCGACAGCTAGGACCCCGATTATTGAATTTATTTTCAAGAGTATTATTACGTTTACACGAGCGTTACTTCTGTAGTAACTTACGATAATTCACTCGTTTACGCGGAGTAAGTTATCTCGTAAGTTCTTACTACAAAATCTCGTTTACGCGAAGGAATTATCGTAAGTTAATTACTACAAAAGTAACGCTCGCGTAAACGTAGTATATGTGCAAATTCTGCTCCTACAGAAAAGTTGCAAGTTGATTGGCTACCGTATGTCTTTTAACCAATCAACTTGTAGATTTTTCGTAACAATGGAATTTGCACACACGTTTTATCGTGTGTAAATAAATTCAAGAATCGAGCTCCTCATCATAAGAATGAAATTGGAGGAAATGCAAAATTAGGTCTGCAGTTCTATTTAGCTGAACTTCTTGCATTATAGTTCATTTTTCTCTTTTTCTCTCTAACATAAAAGGAAAGAGGAAAGGTAAACCGTGCAAGAAGTTCAGCTAAAAAGGACAGGCCTATTATACAAATTAGAAAAGAAATTACTTTTTATCCTCAATATTTCTTGATTTCATTTCTATAACGTAATACAGTTTATTTTCAAAATTTAGATTTTTTAAATGTTAAATATATTCTTGCAATAAACTTGCATTACAAGTAGCTTCAGCGTAAATTCAATTTCAACGGCCTTTCAAGGTTAAAGAAGAGTAAAGCCGGTTTTACAATACACGTTGCAAACGATGGCAACTGCTAGTTGAAAAGTGTTATTTCTGATTGCCGCGTGCCAGTTACTGTCGCCAAAAAAGTTAAAAGGTCGCCAACTCTCTTTTGACAACCGTACGTGACAAGCGCAACGTGAAAATAACACTTTTCAACTAGCAGTTGCCATCGTACGTTTGCGTCGTATTGTAGTACCGGCTTGAGAATGAAATTCGCGCGTAGCGCGATGGACCAAATATGGCGGACCGTCTCGCTCTCTCCTCTCTCGCGACCCTATCGCGTTGTGCGTGACGTGCACACCAGCGCATACGCCGCATACTTGGATGTAGCCAGTGGCGGGCTGCGCCATAACGATGTTTTGTTTACATCGGGTGCGCGACGAAGACAGCGATTACGACAACGGCGATTAGGATGCTCGACGAAAATGCGAATGAAGGATCGGCGACCCGCGACCGTGGCCGATACAAAGGTAGAATCTTCTTGGTTTCCGTCCGTTAAGGCTGTCAGATCGAGCCGCGTCACGCTCGCTTGAGCATCCCTCCATCATAGACGTTTCCCGCGAAATACCGGTCGACGACAAACCGGACCGGGACCGGACCGGCTCGCGACGTCGCGCGGAATCACAACGCATTTGCGTCCCGACGACCGTGAGAACCGTATCCTATTGAGGAGAAGATCGGCCGAATCGACGTCCCGCGAGAAACGTGATTGACGCCGATTGACGGCGACCGTCGCCGTTTCGCGCCCCCGGGAACATTCGAGAAGGAGCAGCGGAGCAGCTGTCACGCACGTGCGTCCTCCGCGCCGGAGCCTCGCCCCGCCTCCGAATTAACAGTCTCGAAGCGGCGCCAGCGATCGAGGAAGCGACCTTGATTGTCGTTCTCGATCGGATGTTGACGAATTCGCCGAGTATGGCTTTTCTTGCAAATAATTTCTCACGGCTCGGTGAGTATCGCAGCATTATCGAAGGACGTGAGCCTCCGGAGCCTTTTGAGATTTTACAGTGAACATATGACCATTGGCGTTCGGGGGGTCGATTATGTATCCTGAAACGAGGTGAAAATTACCGCAGTGAGGAAATTTACTGCAGTATCTATGACATTTGCCGAAATCTAATAAATCTGTTCACTCGCGTGTCATTTTTACCTCGTTTCAAGTTACACCCTCGACCCCCCTAATTTAAGAGAAGGATGAAGAAGTTTTACGAACGAAAAAGGGAGTCGCAAGACTATTATGATTAAAATAAAGAAGAAAAAGGCAGAGATAGAATCTAATTGTAAGTCCCGATGCTGTAAAAGTGTATTTCAAATCGATTGTCGCGAAACATCAATTCTCTTCGTAGAGAGACGAACCATGCTGTAGTGCTGTTGTGATATTCGTCTTGAATATATCAAATTATCGAAGAAAATAGCATTTTAGGTAATCAGTAGGTACAACTTCAGATCGAATCTATATGTTTGAACGATCGAATGCGTCGTGATGCGGAACATTTCCGCTAAAGTTCCTTTTGAAATGCAGTTCCAGTTAGAAGAATAACATCGTTATTTTTCTTCCCACGAATTAATCTTACAATAAACATATCTTCCCCGCAAAAAACGCGGGAAAACGAGATACGATCGTCGAAGAGCGATCGCGCTCGGCCGCCCCCGTCGCGTCTTCATCGCGTGAATCGCTGTGAATCGCGTCTCGTCGCGTCAAATCGCGTCTCGCGTCTCGCGTCTCGCGTCGCGTCGGCTCGCCCGAGAAACGGAAACGTGGGTCGCGCCGCCACCGCTAGGTGTCGGGCCGGGCGCACGACGGTCTGGCTCGCTGTGTGGACGGCCACCATTGTTGAAACACTGCTTTGGTTGATGCCCCGACGATTTTTGGGCCGAAAATCGTAAATTCGCCCGTGCCCGCGGCGGTAGGGCCTCGTTGCGGTAGGTGCGCGGTAAACTCCGCTCTCGCGATCGCGCCCGCGTACGTGTCTCGCCCGTCGAACCGTGCCGAGCGAACGGGGGGCCGACGATATCGCGGGTACGCACGTCTCGGGGGGGCCGACCGTCGTGCTCCGTCTCGTCGACGTCGTCGTCATCGTCGTCGGTGTCGTCGTCGTCGTCGTCGAAGGCACGGTGGCGAGCTCCACCGTCGGCCAGGGAAAAAAAAACGCAAGTGAAATCGCGATCATTGTGCGCGAGGGTGAGGAAGGGGGACCGCGGCGCGTTCCGGCGCGCTCTCTCGCCGTCGGCGCGGATCGTTTCTGTTCCGTCGGTGCGTCGTTGTGCGGATTGTGTCGCTGGCGCGATCGGCGCGGCGCGCACACCGGATCGCGCCCACGATCATCACGACCACGACGTGTCGGCGCGACATCGGAGCGTGCGTATCGTGAGTGTGCGGCCGCGGCCGCCTCCGTTCTCCCTGCCTCCCTGCCGCCGTCGTTCGTGCCTTCTTTCCTCCCGCCGCGCCGCTCCGGCGCTCCCGTGATCGTCGTCGCGCTGTGCCGCCCGGCGGCAACGCGACGCCGTGCGTGCGTACGTGCGTGCGTACATTCATCCTTCGCGCATTGTATGCGTTGCGTGCGTGCACGCTCATGCGCTCATGTGTATGTGTGTGTGTATGTATATGTGTATGTGTATACGTGATACGTGGATTCGCTGTGCTGCTGGCGCGCGGCGTGAAAAGCGCGAGGCACGCCGGCCGTCCCGTCTCGTCGCCGCGATATACCCGGTGAGATTACTCGCGCGGTGAATTCGCGAGCGGCACCCGCTCGCGCGATGACACGACCGACGTCGTGCTGACGGTGACACGCGGCGGGTGCTCCTTGGGGAACGTCCGTCGGCGCGGATCGCGGATCTCGCTGGCACGGGTGCTGCCTCCTCCCTGCATCTCCCTCTCCCTCCCTCTCTCCTTTGTCCGTCCCTATCACTCTTTTTCTCGCTCGCGCGGTGTGCATAGGTGTTCGCGCGACGACGCTATCGATGTGTACGGCCGCGCAAGTGTACAATACGTTTACGACGTGTACAATACGTGCGGGATAAACGTGTTTGCCGTCGCTTGCTTTCGTGTATGTACATACATTACATCCGTGTGTGTATGCGCCGTACTCGCTCTCTCTTTCTCTCTCTCGCTCGCTGTCTCGATATCTCAGTTTCTCTCTCTTCCACCCTCCGAACGGCGTGTACGCGCGGTGCGTGCCGCCGGAATCCGCGAGATGCACGCGGCCGATTCGCGGAGGCAGCGATCGCGAGCGAACATATGATACACCGGGCTGAATGTCACCAGGAGCAACGTTGACATCCGCGGAAAACGGCGACGAGTCTCGCGGCGCGGGCGGACCGTTAGGCACGTTCCCTCCGGGAACGATCGCCGTCGCGACGTTTCTGCTCCGACTTTTACGGATCTTCTCTATCGTTCTCACTCTCTCGCCTTTCCGACATTGATGCCTCGATTGCCACGTTACTTTCCAACAAGTGTCGTTGAATCGGCGATAGGTATAGCTCGACGCACCTCTGCGATGCCTTGAGAAAAGAAATCCGCGCGATGTTGGTGCTCGTCGCGAGGTGGAAAATCGCGGGGTACGTCGATCACTGACGAGTCGCCGATACGCGCGGCGGATACTTAATAGCTGTTTTGATGGTCCACGTCAATGGATCGTGTGAATGAAATCGAGTACTCTTGACGGAAGAGGACGGAAGCGTGAATCGTGTGCCTGTGTGTGCGTTTCAAAATAGAAAGACAAAAACATATCCCGTGTTTCTTACCTGTGACTCCGTCCTTTCCCTCGAAGTACTCGCCTGTACGCCTAAATGAGAGCGTAAACGGCGTAAATGTTTTTTACGTTTTATTCATTCGTACGAGTGTATGTAATATTACATTCCCAGACTGCAAGCTGCTAAGTTCCGATCTGTTTCGCCTGTTCCGTCCGCAAGGGATATTGATACGAAGGCAGACTTTTGTTTTCTTATCGATAAAAATCAGAAATCAGATTTCACAGCCCAATAATATTTAATTCCTGGAATCTCGCGTCGTGTATTAGCAGCTTGCTCGAGTCGGAGTTTGTAATATCGCGTGAAAATTGTGAGAATTGTAGTAAAAAGTTTCCTGCGATATGTCTAGATCGGTAAGAGAAATGTTTCTGTTATGATTACAGAATCTCTGCGAACGTCTAAGCATATATCGCCGGAAGGGAGGTTCGATAGGTTTCCGGATATAGAGCGATATTACCACTATTGTCAAGATACAAATGAGAGAGATAAACGTAGTCCAGACCTACAGTATGGTGTGAGTTGTCACGACTCTTCTATTGTTTCCAGCAATGGTAAAATACAATTATTGTGCTATTATTTTTCTGTATGTGTTCTTTATTTAGGACCAAAGCGATCCGCAGAATTAAACGTTTCTATGTTACAATGTAAATTGCAGCGTCATTTGTTTCCAATTGTAAAATAAATCTTCATGCGAATATCGTCGTCTATCGATCTGTTGCTTCCTGACACTTTAAATTATAGCAGCTTGTGTTATTTTGCCTTGTAATCTGATGGGACCTGTGGTGGATGGTGAATCACGATTAATTTTTGTTTCCAGGACTACATGTATTTGACGTTGCGCCACAATGGGCGCTACCGAACAATTTTATGCAGTGGATCGACCTGCAAGCATTGGTAGCACATAATACTGTGGAGGACATTGTTGATTTATATCACAAAACGAAAGATACCACGGAATCTATTAATCTAAACTCGATATATTCTGCAAACTTATCACCAACAACACCATACGATGATAGGATAGTGAATTCTAACGTACTGGCTGGTACAGTTAATGAATCACTATCCAAAATAACGGGAAATCTGCAGAAGAAACAAAAGAATAGGCTGAGCAACTGCCAGAAGGATTTCGGTGAAGGGACAGACTCGCTAACCATCAGTAAAACGACGGAACCCACGTATTCGTTCGTGAAAGATAAAATCAAAATTTTGTCCGAATCGCAGAAAGAAATTTGTTATGACGCAAATATTAGCCTGTTCAGTTGTGCGTCGAAGCGTTCAATCGATACGCAAGGTATTGGATTGAAAGTCACGTCGGACAATATTGAGCACGGTAAAGAACCTTGTGACCCCAATTGCATCACTTCTGTAGATAACGAGCCACTTGATTTAGTAGTAAATTCGAAAGGAAGTACACAACGCAGCCATACTTACAGTGAGACGAAAGATCGACCTTGCGATTATCCGCATTCGTCAGGTGTCGATAAGAAGATCCTTCCAGCAGATGGTGCCATTTCAAGACAATTAGACCATTCCCCTAATGTACAGAGTTTTTATAACGCAAAGTACAAGACAGTAGATTACGGTTTATTGAAGCTTTCCGATTTAAATGAGTTGTCATGTAATTCGGACAAAGGTAAAGAATTATTCAAGACCATCGGTAAATTGCATGCCAGTAGTGGTGAGGTAAATGGGAAGGTTATATCAAACGGCGATTTGAAGCAAGAGAGTGTGCATGTTCTGGACAAGTACGTCACGCATGTATTGCCATCACGCTTAAGCGGCAGTAAATCGACAGCATCGTCCTGGAAATATTTACAGTCGAATGTCAAATGTAACAATATCAAGAAAGAATGCTGCAGTGAGGAAGAGGTACACAAGTCAGAAAATACCGATCTAGTGGCCGCCTGCTACCCGAGATTAAGCAATTGGGCGTGTTTCGAAATGTCAGGACAGTATCCAGGTCATAGCCGACCACCGGTTGGCACACCTCCACCGCAAACTGTCTGGAACCATCTCACTATGACGCCGGGTCAAGGTAATTTTAATTTCAGGATATTTTTAATGCGACAAATTAATTAATACAACAAATTAATTATGATACTTGCGTTTTCAGCTATCAATATGCATCCGACAGCGTTGTCCGGTGCTACGTTGAGTCCAGCCGGGTTCTACACACATCCATCCATGGCACGAGCGTCCCATCTATCGTCTCAACTCACTCCGCAACTTGCTCATACGCAAGCACCACCGACATGGCATACACCCACGGTTCCTTCGAAGAGCATCACGCCGGCGAACACGCCGGGCAATCCCCTGTTCAATTTACAAATGTTGGTGGACAATCGGCAAAATCAAAATCAATATAGAAATTCGCCTGGTTCTCAGAGCACCTTAGATCTCTCGTCTACATCGGAGATCACTTCGGAGAATTACTCTCGGATAACTCAAGATATTCCCATCAGCTTGACTGCGAGAAATGTGGATAAAGGTAGTCGAAACGGAAATATAATCTCACCACCGATACCGCTTAACGGGGAGACTTCGTCGGACAGCGGAATCAGTTCGTCCGTACCGACGCCAAACTCCGTCAGTGAACCAGTCTCGCTGTCGACGAAGGAGGTCACCACTCCTAAGATAACGGTGAAAAACTTCGAGAGCAATCTAAAGGGAGTCGCGAATCTTCATGATAAGATTAAGGAAATGAATGTAGATAATTTTACGCAGAAAGTGATAAATTTGCCGCCTAGTGTAACGATAGAGAGGGTGGTCGCGGACAAAAAGGAATCCGAAGCTTCTACAAAAGCTAAGGATACGTTGAGTGTTATCGCGCAAGTGCCAAGGAACGTCTTACCTGTTATAGTCAATCTCACGTCCAAGATGGAGAAAGATGTCACGGACAGTCCTAAGCGAGAATCGTCTTCTGAGAGGGACAGAAAGCACGAGGAAACGAGTGTGAGGTCACCTAAGAACTTGCCGAAGAGAGGCAAAAAGGGCGTCGATTCTCTGTTGGAGAAATTAGAAGGGGGGAATAAGAAGCTCGGGAGTACCGAGAATATCGGTTCGGTGATCGTGATGCCGGTAGAGGAAAAGGACACGTCCAGCGTTAAAAGTATGTCGCCGGAGAGGCAGAAGTCTAAATCACCGACACGGGAGGATGAGGTCGTATCGCCGGCTTTCAGTAATGACGACTCGAACGACAACACCAAGCAACGTAGGAAACGAAAACTGGAGAAACCTGTGAGGTTGAGCAAGGACTCGAAAACAGAGGTCGAGGATATGGAACTTGAACCCACGGAACCGACGGAACCGAGGATTATCGACCCGTTATTGGAAGAGACAACCAGTTCCACAGTGGCGGCCGACGTTAAAACGTCGGAGGAGCAGATTGCCAGAAGAGTGGACGAGAGAATATCGGACAAGACAACAATGGACGAGATCATGGAGGAAAGATCAGAAGAAAGTCGACCGATTCGAAGGCGGAGTAGTAGCGAGGAAACCACGGCTAGTAACTCGACACTGACAAATCAGAGAACGCGAAGAAAATCCAGCGAGGATGTATTGTCCGAATTCCCGAAAGTAATAAGTCCAAAGGATACAACGGCGACAGCGACGACAAATCCTTTTGTCGAGGTCGAGTCGGAACTGGCGAAGATGTTCGCCGGAATCGTGGAAGCGGATCCGGAGGTCAAAAATGAAGAATCAAAAGCGGAACTCGTGAGCGCGCAGATCCAAGGCGATAGCACCGCTGTGAAATTCGAAGGTCTTGAAAATAGTATTCTACCGATGACAGATTCTCAGAACGTTCAGAGCAATCCCATCGATGTTTCCTCCACGGTGGACACGAAACTATCGGGGAAAAGGGGTAAGAAAGGGAAGATGCAGGGTGGTAAGAGAAAGATCTCTAGGTCGACAGAGAACATTTTTGGCACGACGGACGATTCTCCGCCGAAAGAGGTGAAGAAGAGACGGACATCCAAAGGTTCGAAGAAACAAGACCAAGCTTCGAAGAAAGCGAAAAAAAACACCAAGATTGACGGCCTGAGGGAGATGGCGTATGATTCTGGTTCGAACGCGAGTTCGATCAGGTCGCGAGGGCCAGTGGTTCACGTGGAGGGGCCAAGGGACAGTCCGTTGAGTATCCAAGTGGTTAATGCACCACGGGAAGACGAGGAGGAGAAGAGCAAAGAGAAGCGGAAAAGCGTCGGCAACGGAAACGGAGGCCGAAGCAAGAGGCTCAGTCATCAAAACGATTTAGATTACAGGGGTACGTACATCTACGAGATAAACAATTATTTCTATAATTTATTACTGTTCATTTTTAGAAGATTTACTTTATCACTCATTTTTGTTATCCGCAGGTAAAGTCAGTAGAGCAGGTCTCTTCAGTTCAACGTTGTCTTCGCGATACGACGCGCATACTACGGACTCGACCTGGGTCTGCGTATTTTGCAAGCAAGGTCCACATTCTGTTATACCTGGAGATCCGTCCAGACCACATCCGAATTTGGCCGGACCGCATATCGCAACTGGAACGTACACGGTACATGTACATTCTCTTTGAATGACTTAATGCTTCGGTACGATAGCAACTCGATACGTCTAATTTGTGACAAGTAAACGTTATTCCTGTATCTGATATAAATCCTATTTTTATAAACTTTATCCGTATTGTATATTGTATTTTTAATTCTATGTTTATGCTTATCTGATTCTCTCATATCATATCGAGCATGATCACGATTTTTATGATATTCAAACGATAAAAAAATAAGTTTTTAAAAATGACATTTGACACTAAATGCAACGTGCCATTAGAAGCGAGATGTCACGCACTAACGGTGCGAATAATACGGTAAATGCCTGTGACAGGTTCCAGCCGGCGTGTTAAGCGATTTATTTGGACCATATTTGATCGGCAAAGAGCGGTTGGAGGATGGCATTTTATCGGCCGACGAACAAGAAATTACAACGGAACAAAAGAAAGGCGGCAAGAACAAGAGGAGCTTGAGGTACGCGGGTCTGGCTGACCAGTTTTCCGCGAAGATGGGCAAGAAGAAGCGGAATTCCGTTGAAAGTAACACAAACACCATTTTTACGGGTATGACTCTCCATCCCGGCGGAGAGGAACAACGTTGGGAGGTGTGGCTTCACGAGCAGTGTGCGGTATGGGCGGCCGGGGTGTACATGGCGGGTAAGTCAACATCAGAATGACGGAATGCACGTAGAACGGCAAGACAACGGCAGCGAATATAATTATACTTACGTACAGCTCATAAGTAATGTGTAACGAAAATTGGAATTGTGTTTGGCAGGCGGCAGAGTGACAGGATTGCAAGAAGCTGTGTGGGACGCCGCTAAATCAGTATGCGACGCTTGCGGCTTGACAGGCGCGAATATCGGTTGCGTGAAACGTGGCTGTAAAGCTGTCTCGCATTATCCGTGCGCGCTGACGAAAGGCTGGCACCTCGACACAAATCAGTACATACCTAAGTGTAATCTTCATCGAGTTACGTGAAACTGCGGTGAGTCTATGAGCATAGGCTAATATGGAAGTAGGTCGTATTCACATTATATCACACTGAGATCCGGCTTTAATTAGATGCACCGAATAATGGGCAATAATGTAAGAGACTAGGTATATAAATCCGTTTATGACTGAAGATAGCCTTACTAGTTAGTAAGGTATGTTCTAGTTAATAAAGGAGCAAAATATCCTCATGCGAGAAAATCAGTTTGTGTGTAACGTAACCAAGTTACGTCGCGATCGAAACGTACATAACGGATGCGAAAGAGTAATCAGCGTATTTATAAATAGATACAATTTAAATTAAAATACTAAAATATATGACATTATTGTTGATTTGATATTCTATTTTTTTCTGTTCTAATAGATAAATCCATTTTTAAATCGATTTTTTTTTTGACGATGAATTGGAATTCGACTATAAGGTGCTTTGGGATTGCTCCTTGCATTATATTATTTGACGCGTAAATGTATCATGAAAGCATAAATGCAATTATACTAATTTCCAGACATCAAGTTTAGAATCAATATGCTCGAGAAAAATATCTTCCGATGTACAAGATGTTTAAACGGAAACTCTGTCAACTGTTTCTGAGAATTATAGAAAGGAAAAAAAGAGGAATGAAGAAATAGGTATTTTTCTTCGTGATTGAATTGAATTTAATTTTCTTGGCCTGTGTGGCCTTGAACAGTGGCCTTTTCGACTTTAATATAAAAACCAGAGATAAAGAGCAAGATTTTTTTTTAATTTCGAATTTGTAGAATAAACGGTTCGCTATATCGAGGAACAATGATAATCAAAAATAAAGACGTTTGCTTTTTTTATTCATGTTTATGAAGATCTAAAAGTATTGCCGATTTTCTTAACAACATCATGTACGCAGGAATACACAAATAGGGCATATTGTATTTAATAATATCGACATCTGTAAAATTGTGGCAGCAAAAATCGGATGCATTATAAATATAGTAAGACGGAATAAGTCAGTAATGTAAGCGAAAATGGAATATTTTCTTTTCTTTTTCGCGAAAATTCAGCATGTAAGGCAAGTGTTCTCTGATGAATATAAAAAAAAAGAACTGTTTGTATATATAGCAAGAATAAAGGGACTATTGTATTATTAAAGCATCATGATTATACTTGAAAGTTTTAGAAAACTTTGTATGTATTGTTTTTGGAAAAAAATATAATACATACATATGTTTCACGACAAGTAGCAAAGTAGTTTGATATATTGAAGAATTTGATTTTCTTTTTGTTTATGTCGCTCCGTGAGTCATTAGCTCATATATATATATATATATATAGCTTAGCACACACGCTCGTCCATATAAAGTCTATTTTTCGTTACATTTTGATATTGATATTTCTTTTGCAGCTACTTTATCCTGTCAAATTTTTATTTAATTTTGCATGTTATAACGGGTTGACAATTTCTTATAGAGAAATATTTTTGTACTCGCATCGAGCGAGATGATTAAAATGAGAACACTTGTAAGACTTTAGTGCCGCTGTATATAATATAATATAATATAACAAAGAACACATCTCGTTGCATTCAGTGATGCGTTTTGTATCGCGTCACATTCACTGTCATTTTATCATCGGTCGTGAAACCAGTGATTCAGATCCAATGTCTCACATATGATTCATTGTTAGTGATTAAATTAATAGTTTGCACATTATTGTGGAATTGTAATAATTATATTGCTGATTTATATACATGTATATTTTATATTAATTTTCTTTTCATATTAATATGAAAATTTATTGTCGTCATCTTTGCTGTCATCATTGTTGTCGTCATCATCGTTCTCATTGTATTTTATAAGTGTAAGAGAGGCAGGTTTTCGCTACGACAAATGTAAGAATATAACAAGCGATTCTCTTACTACATCAGGGAGAACTAGCAAAGATCAAGAAAATTGTATAAAAATAATATTATATAGAAAGATACAATGCGTGTGTGTGTGTATGTGTGTGCGTGCGTGTGTGTGTGTGTATATGTGTGTATATATATATATATATATAATATTAATTTGCATAGAAAAAAGTATATATACATGTATAACATGATATAATATACATATATATATACATATGCATCTATGTATGATTATATACATATGTATGTATGTATACATGTATAAATATACACCACACAAATTAAGTACATATTGAAAATAGCCGTCACGTCTCCCACACAGCACAGAGTACGATAAATTAGGTATAATCATTTTTAAATAGTAACTATATATTCAGAGATGAAGATAAAATTATTGAGCGTAAAAAAGATTCTTTGTACATATATAGTGCGTAGCAACAAATGTAAAAAAGAAAGACTATCTCTGAGAGAACCTTTTATTTAGAAGCTTAAATCATGTTTTAAAGAAATAGTAATAAAAGGAATGACACGTTCACACTTCAGTAGAAAAAATGCATAAAGCCTAATTTTCTTTTTGTGAGACTTTTTCGAGACGGTTTCTGACACTCCTCGGCATTAAGGGTGGTCTTTGTATAAAACGGACGGATGCAGCCAAAAAATACCGCTTAGATGTAATAAGAGAGATATGGAAATGTAAACGAAACGCTTATAATCTACAATTGTGTATGAAAGGGAAACAAAATTTTATCTTAGACAGAGTAACTGTAATATTAATCATTACTTGTGATACAAAGAGAGGAAGGAAGAAAGGAAGGAGACAAATTCCGGAGTGAAAACGACGAGCGAGATATATATTTCAGCTCGTTTTTTTTTTTCGTCGTCGAGCGCACATGGCTTTGCGTATACACGAAGGGGGTTCGCGGCGTGCGTCCCCGTGTACAGTAGAACTTTTGTAGCATGTCAGTAATATAGCGCTGTGTACATTGTCACTTAGGCATGTCTTGCGGATAGGTAAGGTCTAAGGGCAGTTAATGCATCACCGAGATTGTAGAGAAAGAAAAGAAAATCCCTTAGGAAACCTCTCCGTCCGGTCCCTCGTTCCGTACGCAGAGCCGTGCGCGCCGAGACGCGCGCTGCGCGACAACAGGCGTCTTTGTCGCGTTTATTATTATTATCTTGACGATTTGTATAAATGGGACATACTTGCGGCTTGTAAATTGCACGTTAACGAGTGAGAGGCGTAGGCGTTGAGGCGTCAAAACGAGATAAGTAGTCGAGCGCAGGGAGAAACCTGAGAATATCACGATGCCTAAGTAATTTGTATAAAAAAAAAAGAAAAAAAAAAGACGAATCTGTATAGTAAGAGACGAGAACGTGTGTTGCGTCATATGTGGACGTAAAGGGAAAATAATCGCGGCAGCGACAGGGTCGCTATGGTGAATTGGCAGCAGGTAAACGGAAGCATCATCGTTAGGGGCGAGAACGAGAGGATTAGGTATATCTCTTTATTCCTGATCTTCGCGCGTATACTTTAAGTCTAATTCGTTTTTTTTTTGTTAGAGTTTACTTTTTCCTTCCCCCCCCCCCCCCCGGCTCTCACCGCTCTATCTGTCTCTCTTTCTCCGTTCTTCTTTTCGTTTGTCCTGTCGTATTCCTCTTCTTTCGCGAGTCGGATAGATGTACCCAATCTTTCTTTTTTGTGACCTGGTTTAATGTAATAATTATTAAGAGAGATATTGGTTAAACGCTATTTAATAATACGGAATGGTAGAGAAATCGGCGAATTGTATTTGAAGATCAATACAATAATACGATTAAGAGAGAAAAAAATATACATCTTTGTGTAATATAAATATAATAAATAATAAAACACGATATGTGCGCCTGCTGTATGTGTATGCGTGCGCGCGCGTGTGCTGTAAGCTGTCTAAGCGAAGTTCTCCTAATTCTAAATCCCGACTGCTCCTGTTGTAATAACGAGAATTTTTCACGGTCGTAACGATGATTCGCGTGTTGTTCATTAGTGCAAAATCTTTTGTTATAAATCAACGGGCTTCGCGCGTGGTTAGTGCGAATTCAAAAAAAGTTCGCCGTGCACCTAACGCCCTCTCGTTAATTGCCTTCCGGTTCTGGTTCAGAGGTATTTCCTGATCGAACGAGGCTCAATTTCAATAGCGTCGCTCGAGAGAATCGCTACGTCGCGTTTTGATACAGATTTCGAATCGCAGTTGCGGAACGCGTCGCGACGGTACATACGTACATCGTGTCAGCAATCATTTGTTCAAAAGGGAACTTCGCACGGGTCTTAACATTAAAGTACGTAAGTGCGTCCGCTTTTATTTCGATATCATTTTCATGTATGCTGATTGCGATGCGCCTCGTCTGAAGAGGCCGTAACCGTTGATTTAAGCCGTAATCTTTAAGAAATTGACCAATCACAGTCGAATGTGAGAAGAACAATCGACTGTGATTGGTCAATTTCTTAAAGATTACGGCTTAAATCAATTGTTACGGCCTCTATAATCAGCCTTGACTCGTCTCTTCCACGTTATGCCCGTATCACACTAGGCGATTGGCGATTGCGTTTACGTTTGCGTCTACGTCTTTTGACCAATCAGAACGGAAATCGCAAATCGCAATCGCCAGCAGCTACTTTCTGATTGGTCAAGAGACGTAAACGCAAACGTAGACGCAATCGCCAATCGCTAGTGTGATACGGGCATTACTTCCTCAGAAATGGACGCTATTGGTTAGGCTCATGAGACTAACCAATCAGAATGATTCCGAGATTCCGTCTTGCATGGGGAGGCACCCTAAGTAGGTGAAGTAGGTAGGTTGGCCAGCCTGACATTTTTCGCGGCAAGCATCGCGTGCGGTTGTGGCGTGCGGCGGCGGCTCGCATCGCAGATCGCAGTTCGCACTTCGCAGTAGTTCGCACTCGCTCACGTTGACCGGCATCCTCATGTGTTTCGACAGGTACAATAACGCCTTCACGCTCTAGTTTTCTAATTTTTCTTCGCATATATTAAGTAACAAAAGATCGATAATTTTACCCACGTTAACAAAACGATGCAGCTATATTATTTATTAATTTAATCGTTAATTAATCGCCCTAACATCCATTTCAACCGATCTAGATTAATCATAATCTCGGATCTAACTTACTTTTCATCTTTTTCTAGTTCTAAGAATTAGAAAAGAATAAAAAGTAAGTTAAATCGAGATTAAAGTCAATCAATTCTGCACTGCTAAAAAGAGTGGACATAAAACAGTCAAAATGGCGACAAAAACTTTTCACGCTCGCGCGCGCTCGATCATTTCGCCCGGATGTCGGGCCGCCGCGAGCCGCGAGAGGTCGCCGATGTACCGCGCGAGTGTTTCGCGGCGCGCGGCATCCCCTCCCTCCGCAGTTTGCCATCGGACGTCGCGCGGCGTGGACGTGTTGTCGCGCGCGCGCTCGCGAATGTAACGAGGGAACGGTTGTGAGCTCGCGCGGTATCGCGCCGTGAATATATCGCCGCCGCAACGGGGAATTATGTCGACACGGAGAAATGGGTAACCTGGCGACGCTACTAGTGAAGTTCGGTGCCGCGTTCCTCCTCGCCTGTCATGCGGATTACAGCCTGGCCCAGGACAACGCGACGGGTAAGTGACAAGTGACGCGACGAGACGAGACGCGGACGCGCATCGCCGCGCGTTTTCATGCCTCGCGTGACAATGCCCCCGCGTCGGCCGGCCACGCACGTGGGGCCGCGTGTATGTACACACAGCCGGACGTTTCGGTTGTTTAATTATGCGTTCGGGGATGGCCCGGAGTATGCTAACAATGCGGACCGGAATCATCTTGCGTGGAGAGAAAATAAGTCGGGAACGCAAAACGCGCTCCCTTCGAAACGGTGGATATTTCAAAGATCGGTTAACTAATAGTGTCATTTTTAAATAATTTGGATCGTCTTAACTGTTATTTGCATCGGCGGCTGTCGAAGTACGAATTAAAAGGTACATTTTACAAAAGAGGCAGGTATAAGATAATTTTGAAACTATCAAACGGGATTATTCGTAAAATATCAAGAGATTTCCTTTTTTTTTTTTTAAATAGAATCGTTCTCTTCGCATTTGAATAGATATTTTCATATTTAAATACAGTATTTTTCTTTACTCCGAAATATGTAGACGTGAATTTGTCGAAGAAAAATGAGAAAAGTTATGCTCCGATCCGACACTTGGAATACGAGTCTCTCGGAAATAAAGCGCGACGGGATTTCGTCCTACATTTTCGACTTGCTTTCTCACGTGGAATTATCCGCGATCTCTCGATTACGCCATCAATAACAGATCGTCTTGTATACATCACAAGACGTTATACGTTTTCGTGGTTCGTAAGCGATTACGTGCGCGCACGCTCGGTGCAAAACGCGCGTGTCTGTACGTGTTTTTACACGCGCGCGCGAACGTGTAACATTATTTTACAACAATGCTGCGCCGCGCATAAAGGAAAATCGCCGATCTTCGGTCCGCGCAACCTGAAAATCACGCACGATTCAATTCGTGACCGTGAAATGTAACTTTTTTTTTTAACTGTGCCAAGTAAAGTCGGCATCTCTATGGCTGGATTCGGGGAGCGTGCTATTAGCGCTATTTGCTTATTCTATCCTTGTTTTAAATCTGATGAGCGATAAAGATAGAATGATGCAATAGCGCTAATAGCGCGCTCCCCGAACGCAGCCTATATCGCGTGTTTAATTTCCCTATCGAAATACATCGGGGAAAAAACACGCGTTTCGCTCGAGATACTTATCGAGCATACCGATAGTTAATGTAGACGCGAGACGCGAAGATCAGTTAATTACATTCATTAAACATTATTAACTCCTGCTTTTTTTCCATACGTTCGGTATGCGCGCCTGGTGTACGCTCGGCCGTTAAAAATTTTGCATGCTCGATCCGTTTCTTTGAAAAAATTTCAGCGAGTAGTTCGTTGCAGCGAGGTACGATCCATTTCGGAGCGCGGTATCTCGGAGCGTATAGGTATCTAAAGGGTCTCATTAAAGTTGCATGCATGGAGATTAAATTACTATGCTTCATCAACAAACTTCGACGCTATAATTTCAGGTTCACGGTATATATCTCGAGTCTTAGAAGTGCCTGATCTCATTAACTTGATGAGCCTATTATATGTTAGGATTACTGCAGTGCGCAGAATATTAAAGCATATATATTATATTCTCTCTCCGAGATACGGGCGAAAATCGAGTTGAATTAACCAACGGTAATTAATTGAGATAAATTACATTCCAGACGTAACATATTAAACGCAATTCCTTGCAACACGGAAAATATCCGAATAAAAGTAACCTTCTCGACACTTTTCCGTTCAATATCAGTATTTGCGTAATTATCGTAGGTTGGCACCGAAATTTCTTTCGCGTGTTTTCGCTCCTGCAACATTTAGCGTAAGTAATACCGTATTCAAAGCGACAGCTTCATCCTCCCTTGAGCGTTTAAACTACTCTAGGGCTTAATTACGTGCCTTCTTAAGTTAAGAGACTTCGCGTCCGTAATAACTGTCGAGAGTCGCAGCACTGTTAATATTAAAGGATGAAATGTAAGCCAATACCTTGAGTTAAATAACATTTTGTTATTTTTAACTACCATGTGTGTCGTACTTAATTATTTTAATACAGAACAGTATTGTGACTTTATTAGTTTAGTTAAATTAATGACATATTGAGTAGAAATAGTGGCGACCTATATAGGAATGGATGACTCAAATTAAGTATAATTTAACATTACAAATTTAACAGTAAGTGCGTTACGTTCGTGGATCCTTGCCGCTTTCGTGGCGTGTCAACAAAACGCGAGCGCGATAGGAGGAATGCGTAATCACCCTCAGACCTGTTAATTCCATCCTGTGTTTCACGTGACTTCCTGAATTACAATCGCCTCGCCTATTAGACGCTTTAAATTTTACGAACGTTGCAGTTAATCGTGAAAAACATGTAAAGTTTTTAAGAATTTTACATGTAAACACGTTAAGTTTGCGCCTTCCTCCAATTTCTTGCTTCAATGGCCAGAAACTACATGTTGTTTATTCTATTCAGAATTATATAGAACTATTCGAAATAAAGCAACTGCTCTCAATAATTAATGAGTTTCCGTGAAATAATACACCAGCGTCTTTGACAATTTCTAAAAGGGCGATGTTAAAACGGAGTGGGCGAGGAGCTGCGGATGATTTTAGCAACATCCTCGCGTCCTCGCGTGAGGGAGACTATCTTTTTGGAGCGCTCGGTTTCTGTTCTGTTTATTTCTGCCTTTGTGTGCAACGCGACGACGGCGGCGTTCTCGCGATCTCGCGCGTGACGGACGCCGCGTTCCTTCCTGAAGGCAAGCACGAAGCGCGGTGGCTCGACCATCATCGGCCGGTGGTCGGCCGGCATAGCCGTCTCAACCGCTAATTGTTGCACAATGCTCTCTCGCGAGTTCACAGGTGCATTGCACCAGAAATCCTCTCCCGGTGCCCGCTCTGCTCGCCTCTCCCGTGCTCGCGCCGCCGCGCCGCTCAATGGCGTAGAATATACCACGCTAGAGAAGGATTGCGAAAACGTTGTATAGCTATCCTAGGAACGTGACGGATAAGAGATCTCGTCTCCAGCGAGATCTCTTAATTTCTTAATCTATACTGTAATCCGTAAAGCGCGAGCTTCCATCGTCGTTTCTTTCGCAATCGAATTAATTTTTCAAAAACCGCGGCAAACAACGTGCTACGCAACGAAAAACCGGTCTCTTACTGATATGTGGCTTTATGCTTAAATAAGGTAAAAATAATTCGAAATGCAATTGTAGCTGGAATTATACAATGTTTTTATTTGAGCATTCGTGAAGGATACAACGTACTTTATGCTGCACATTTAAAACTCATGCAAGATTATTCCTTCGAAGACCCTCTGACCATCGCTCGATGCAATTTCCTACGTTGATTAACTGACGCAATCCTGCTTCGATCAGAAACGCTAATAAGATTTCGCCGTTTTGGTGAATCGCGAGATGATAATTGCGTCCAGCTTACTCGAGGGGGAGAAGGTATGAAAAGTTCGCTTTCTTATATTTACGCCACTGGTGCTATCGGAGCGCGATTAGGTCGATGTGTCTGTCTCGTTTGTGGAAGTGAAAGGACGAGAACCGTTTTCGCGTTCGCCCGACCGTGCTCCTATGTGCCATGCCGTGAACAACCGCGACTTAGAAAACTCAGCCGCGATCACGGCCCTGACCGGTAGGAACCTGGCCGCGCCGCAAAATTCTATGGCAGGATATTCCAGCGATTTGCACGATCGCACCCTCCCAAAGTTCATTCGAACGTACAGTCTGTGAATGCCCGGCTGAAGGGATTCGACCCTTTCATGCACTTCGGATGTCGAAGTGAGTCCATACGCTTTGTATATTATCTTCCTATTGCAGATACGGGAGGCATGTATACTCGTTGAAAGTTCAATCTTTATTCCACGATCGTCGGATTAGATATAAACAACAATACAGCGCGTACGAAAACTGCTGGATATTTCGTATAAAGATTTATTTACCACATTGATCGCGAAAACTGTATACTTAAGTGCGATTTATGTCGCGTCGTTAAGCACAGGGATTTCTTTGCTATTTACCCCTTTAATCACTGTCACGGTACGTCGCACCGTGACGTATATAAATTTTCCTGGACGTAGTTTTCACTTTTATCTTTTCTTTGCCAAGACGTTAATGATCATTCCGTTCCGCGTATAAAATACAGAATTGCACGCAATATTAATTTCATGAAGGATCAGTTGAAACCCAATAGTATCAGTTGAAACGAACTCTCGTTAAAATCATAGTGCAAACGTAATGTCGAGTTATTTTCCACCGGTGAAAGTTTAACGATCACCGTCGTTTTATTAGGAAAATAAACGTTCCGGTCAAGTCTCGATTAAATTCCCAAAAAGGCATAAACGACAAATGGGAAAATCTGGAATTGCCGAGTATCTACTTTTAAGACAGGAAATTCGTCTTTATCTTTACGTTAAATAATAAATTTATAGCCAGCGATTTAAAAGCCAGAGTCACAGTAAGATTCAAAATATAATATAATTTTAAAACAGACAGAACTCGGTTTAAAATTATCCGCAAGTGTATGAATCGAAGGATGGAACGTTCGCCGTTTTGTATCAATGACGGTGAATAGCAGATCGTTTGAAACCGGCTTTAATCGTGCGACAGTTCGCCACGGAATACTACTCTCTTCCAAGTTTCCGGTTCATTGTTGCGATACCGTTTCTGACGCGAATGCAATTTCGCAATCCTCGACCTCTTCCTTCCTCTTCGCGGGGCGCGCGCGCGCGCAATTCACGGATACGCTTTTCTGCATATTACATTGCTCTATACCGTGCTCATTTCCCTGACGCAAAATTGCTCTCTTCTTATCTCTCTCTTTCTCTCTCTCTTTTTCATTCCCGTGCCGCGTCCACTGGGCCACCATGTCCGGGATCCGCGTGCGACACGCGTCACTGACGTGACGTCGCCGTCCCGATGCGATGATGAGCGGCAGCATCCTGTGAGCTCAATGCGAATCGACGACGGCCACGCCGGTTAGCCATTATCGCGCAGATGAGATGATT